ACAGCTACCCTGTAGCATTCAACCTGACTTACTTCCAAAGAAACAGACCTACTGTGCCTTAGAACCTAAGCCACCGTTACAAAGCGTTAATTATAAAGAAAAAAAAATTATTATTATAATAATCTCTTAAATTATTAAATTTTAAACCTATTATTAAGCGTGTTTTTTAAAAATAACATATTATTATTTTTTTATATGTAAAATATACTAAGAGGTGTAGGTTATAGAGTCCCTAACTAAATTAAGCTAGTTATATGCATACAGCGCTCATGCATATAGCTCCTAACAGATGGACTCCTTCACCGTCGGGACCGCGTTATCGACTTGCAGACCCTACCATAACTCCATAAGTGAAATGACAACCAACTGCATAAACGAAGCTAATGAGACACCGATAATATTGTTACCACCTGAGGGTTTGCAGTGCTTAGACTGCTATTTGTAATGAATCCGGCTAGCGAACATAACTGAGTCACGAACAGCAAGGCAGTAATTGCGAAGCATGCAAGTCGCTGCATTCTTCGTGGTTACACAGACTATTAACTTTGCAAAGGCAGTACTCAACCACTAGTTCTCTCATCATTCCTCGCTTATCTTCTCAAATACAAAGCCGTCTCTACATTCACATGTTTCCATGCAGTGCAGTGTTCTGTGGCTTCCTTTGGTGGCCTCCTCTAGTGATTTAGTGGCCCACTTAAAAGCTAATTAAGGACCCGAGCCTAAGTGGCCCCACCTAAACCATGAGGACTTGTTTTTATGGGAGACTAGACGGCTGTTTTAACTTAACAGGCTTGTAGGGCCATAAAGATAAAACAAACTCAACCATCTATTCCGGGAATCTTTTGCTTGTCGTAAGGTCCTCAAATTAGAGATTGTCAGTTAACTAAGCAGAGGCGCTCGGATACAAGGTAGTAGTGGGTTTAGGGGCCGCGGTGAGTTCCATCCCGTTCCCCGGGCAACCCACGATTGCATGTTACGCCAAAGCATGGATGGATGTCAACCCAGGATCTGCTCCTTAGAGGCGCAACATCACCAAAACACTCAAAACCTTCCTTGCGTCGACACCCATGATGCGCGATTCGGAAGTTCTAAGTTGGCGCGAATCTGTTGTTACGCGTTCAAGGGAACGTACCATACCCGACGAGCTCCAAGAGAGTCACCCGGCCTACACCAAAAGAGCAAGGCGAGGAGAATTGCTATCGCCCTCTCCTTCCGCCCCAGTTCATGGATGCACCAGCTATCGACAAATGTCTACGTCCGCTTCACAGCAAAAGCAAAAGCGGCGCTTGCGCGACAACCCAGAGCCTATTGTTCTTGAGTCAGACATAGAGCTAGACCGTACTCCTCGTGCTAAGAAATCTACTTCAATATTTGATTTGGATGACAGGAGCATCTCCTTAGGAGATTCGACACCTTCCCGCGCCTCATCTAAAGCCTCCAAAGCATCTCGCAATTCTTCACCGAGGAAACAGTTTCGAAACGCAGAGTTACAGCAAACCGGATTCCGCACCGCTAGTTTTAAAGATGAAATACAATCACCGTCACTAAAACAATTACGCCGGGACCTGATCGGCATCCAGAGAGGAGATAGGATATTGCCTCAAGGCTTGCGAGCTCAGGTTTGTGCCGCTATTTTACTTTGACACCATAGCCATGTGCTAATATCTTCTCCAATAGCTAGACTCGGAATTTGACATTCCTTGGTTTGCTTATTCAGATAGCGAAGACTCGACCTCTTACCGATATCCGGGCCTGGAAAAAATTCGTCAGATCTTCGAACGAGCAAAGAAATGCCGCGATGGCCACCATGGGGAGTCATCTTGGAATATGGACGTTCATTCTAAGTTCTTTGAATGGGTGTTAAGAGACCCCGAAAGCAGTGGTCCTCTCGACTACCGTTATTGGTAAGCTTTGTAACGTGGGATCTTAGGCCTAACTGACAATTTCACAGTCTAATCGCTGGCCTCCTCCCACAGTACAAACCTAAAGATGCTCCAAGTAAAATGGTGGACTTTTGCCTTGCTATCGAAGTAAACGAAGAGGAGGAGCGGATTATCAACTTTCTTTGCCGAAGTCGACCAGGATTCTCGATTAACCACACTGATTGGGGGGACTTGAACAAGTTCCCTATCGCCATATCGGTAGAAACAAAAGGACATGGAGATCCCTACGACACTGCCTTGCTCCAGGTTGCTACTTGGCACGCCTCTCAATGGCGTAGCTTACGTTGGGGAGGCAAGGCTTTGTCTGCGATCGAATTTCTTGCTGGGATTATTGTGATTGGCCACGATTGGCGATTCGTTGCCACAGTACTCGGTGAGGATGACAAAGCGACGACATTCGAATCGATCCCCATAGGGAGCACGGATTCAATATTTGCTATATACACCTTATTTGCCGCTCTACAAAGGTTGAAACGGTGGGCGGAGTCCACATATTGGCCAGCTTTTAAATGTGACATGCTTGGGGATACCTCGCCGGAAGGCTGAAATGGCAATGTCCCTCAGCCAGAGCTATAACAAGAAAACTATATTTTTAATTTTTAAAAAAGCTTAAATATCAAATAAGAGAACTTATAATTCTATAAGTATCTTATTAAACTTAATATCATTTATTATATTAGAAACTATAAAAACTATAAAACTATAAAACTATACTACCTTTATAGCTCTAATAAAAAGAGAGAGAGAAGTAACTTATAAGCTATTAAGTGTAAATCTTATTAATATATATTACGCGTTTATATTAAACTTTATAGTATAAGTTATTAATATAAACTATATTATTTTAATTTATACTTCACGTATAAATAGCTAAAGTTATTTTATAATAGCCTTTACTAGCAGTGTAGCACGCACTATAATAAATTACTAATTAGCTAATATATTTAACGTATTATAATACGTTTATAATATCTTACGTAGTTAGTTATAGTTCCCTAGCTTAGGAATAGCTAAGTATAGTGTTATTAAATGCCCTTTATTTAGCTAGTTTTTTTGATATTTTTTTTAGTTGATTCAGCTGTGCCAAGGGGCAATCTAGCGCGCCATTATAGAAGAAGGCTGCCGAATACCGATCAGTCGGTGCCTTATTGTCAGTTATTGATTACTCAATGGACGCTGCTCTTATACTCGCCATCTGTCCAAAATGACGGCATGTCACTAACATTAAAGACCAATGCATTCAGAAATGGGTCTACGACCACAAATTCATTCGTTTTCATGTCGAGCACTTCCAGCCCTGCGTGGCTATCCTATAGCAATAGCGTAACAGCACCAAATTCAGCGTTGGCACCGGCACCAAACTGAACCTTGCCAGTCACCAAGCCCTTCGGCGGCGATGGAGGGTAGTGAAGTAATCATCGAAGCACCGAAACCGTGCAGCCCACAGTGAGCTTGTCGAGGGCATCTACTCTAGGCAGAGGTTCTTTGCACTTTGCCAAAGGTCATTTACGTTCAAGATGACCCCGTCAATGTTTTCTGGATCCAAGCCAACTTTATCGACGACGACTTCCATCTCGTCTTCTCTGTTATTCACATCGCTGCCGATAGTCTTGGTGTGACAGACTGTGACGGGGGCAGGGATCCTGGGCGCAATAATCAACTTTAAGGTATCAAAAGTTCACGGTTTTCTAAGAGGCCTTTAAGAGTCAGAGGTCTCTATAATTTCAAGGAGTCGCTGAGCCCTGATAGCCCGAGGCAGCTCTCGTTTAGGGTCCGGTCTCGGGCCTCGTGATACCTTGCTTGGCCTAACCGTGTGACACGCACCGCTAGCTACCTACCTAGGTAGGTATTTAAGTATCAATGATGTCAAATTCAAGCCTTAATTAGCGGTTTAATTGCCAAGTAGCTCTTAGGTACTCGTGCCACGCCCCATCTTAGGTTGTCCAGCTAGCAAAGCCCTCCGTGCTCACCACCCGGGCACCTTAGTTGTTAAGATTGTAGAGTGTTCATCTCGTAGTTGTATTAATCTTGTAAAGGTTAGGGGACTAGCTCACTATATATACATATACCAGAGTGCCCGTATCGTTATCTCCACGTGACTACTCGCCTATTCCAACATTAGTAGTAGACCAGGCCGCGTACGCCACCTTGCTTTATAGCTATAACTATAAAGAAGATAGCGCATAGAGCTATATACTGTAGCTAGTTGGCCTTACTTACAAGGTCAATCTATGCTTTCGTGTCTCCTCATGCAAGTAGATGTGGTAAAAGCCGCTCTAATACTATTGGTGCTGGCGAGGTCACGTGCTTAGGATTGTGTTCGTAGGACACGTTAACGGGACGCGGTTACTCGTGTGCTCGTTTACTCCTTGATACCAAATCACTCTATTCACCATGGGGACTCGAGGCCTCAAGATTGTGCGCTTTCGTGGCCGTTATTACATTTACTACAATCAGTTCGACAGCTACTTTGAAGGTCTCGGCGCCGAAATCGTTGCGAGCGTTCCGACCGAACCCGACAAGTATCAGGGTACGTGCGATTGAACCGTCCACACAATTAATACAATACGTGCGAACGCTATGCTAACTCAACACTGCGCAGAATGGCTCACGTCTATGCGAGCCCAGTATGCGGCCAAGCAACGCGCTCTTGAGCAACACGTATACGAGATTCGCGACGGATCCGAACCTGATTATTCCTTTTTTGACGAACTCGAGGTGCTCCCATCAGAGTTGCAGCGACTCGACGACTTTGACGCCGAATACTTCTACATTATCAATCTTGATCATGAGGTTCTCACCATAAACTTTAGCATACATTGGCAGCTTGGAAATATCCCACGCAAAGACCAGCTTTGGCTTCGTGCCATCGCAGATAGCATCTACCCTTTTAAGCCCACAATATCCCTCGACCTTTGCCCGCAAGAGCACATGGCCTCTCTGGCTTTAAAGCTCCCCAGACGGGACCGCAAGATCGCGTATGACTTTGACATTGTAACCCCAAACATGGATATCGCTGAGCCACGAAAAGCGTTTCTTACCTCGGTTCTTGCCAGGATTATGATTGACTACAAGGATACCATTGTTCGATTTGGAAGGGAGTGGAGCCCAGACTCGTTTCCTTTTCGTGAGTTGGCCTTTGCCCTCGTCTCTATTGCATCTGGCCAGGCTAAATTCCATTCGTTTCCCGCTCAGCCATGTAACCCTCGAAGTTGCTGCATCTACGGCTGCAAGCAGAAACACCTTCCCAAGTCCTCTGGATGTCTTGGTCAAGAGTGGGCTGGCGATTGCGCTCCATTGCTCGAGTTTGGCTCCATGTCCCACCGACCTGGCGACCCTCCCGGAACATCACCTATGGAGACCATGTACTGGCACGAGGACGTGCTTGTCAGCCTCACATTAGTCGTCGACGGCAAGGCTATCACGAATGCCGTTGCTTGGGGCATCAACAAGCGGCGGGCAAGCTTTCAGGTAGTCGTCCTGTCACTCTTCGAGGTGTCCTTTGCAGACGTCTTTTTATATGATGACGATGAGCCATTGGTCGAAGTCAGCAAAAGTGTCAATCTTTCGCCTCTTCGCGCAAAGTATTGCGTAAGCACGCATCCGCGCGAGAGACCAGAGCTAAAGCCGGATAGGGAGATGCACCGTCACTCCGGCGAGCTCCTCATGGAGCCAAGCTGCATCGGGACCGAGGAAAGATTACGAACCTTATTCCCCGGACTCGCTGTGCTGGTCAACTTCTTCCAAGCCGCCGCAAGCCGCCGCGCAGCATCCAAGCCTTTAGTCCTTGTCCCGCTCGTTAACTCGTTGGCAGTCACCGCGAACCCCAGCACAGCATCCAAATCGCCAGTCGCTCTCCCGTCTGAACTGCACGACCGGATTCTAGACTTTGTCGACTACGATACGTGGAAGACTTGCCTGGTTGTGTCACCAAAATTCCGTCGTTACTGCCTCAGCAAGTACAGACTTGACAATCAGACGAGCATCGTGGCAGGCCCCTTTGTCGAGTATCGCAAGTTTCGCCTCAAGGAGGAACCCCTGTTGTCGTTTGACTTTGAAGATATGCAAACGGGCAGGATATTTCGAATGATGCAGGATCAGTTTCGTTTTCGGACGAAACAGTACAACTGGATGCCCCTTATTGGTAGCGACCGGAAGGCGCTCATGTTAGACACGGTTGTCCAGTTTGAGCCGGTCCAGACCGAAACTCTACCACCAACATAGCCTCCGTGACAAAGATACTATGATACCATGTTATAGTATGCTGGCAGCTAGTTAATCTCTTAATAATAACGTTCCATATATGAAGTCGTTCTTTTCAATGCAAATGTTTTTTTACGGCCCCACAAGCTCCGTCCTAACACAGTGTTTATGAACGTTAAAATGCTGACGGTAAGTTCCCTGTCTTCTAGTGTATGGATTTGTTGACGGTTGGGTTATCTGGAGCAGGTAACTTGATCGGAGCGTGTGAGTAGAATTGTCACCCGTCCTGAGCCGGTGAATAAATTGCTCACCACGGTGATGACTAGGTCTTTTTGGCTACCTTGCCGGTAAAATGCTTACTTTTGAACAAATGTTACTACTCTTGCCGTGGACGCTAACCGGGGGGGCCAAACCAAGACCACATTCGAAACCGTCGCACGTCCTCAGGTAATACTTGTCGGCGTAACCTTGATGATCCGGGTTGCCAAACATGTTGCCTTGATGTTTATAGGGCGGTTCATAAAGGGGCTTGCGTCTGCAGCGGTTTGGGCCGTGGGACTGGCGCTCCTTGTTGACACCGTTGGCAAGAGCGACGCCTCCATCGCCAAGGGATACGTGAACATTGGATTCAGCTTCGAACTGTCCTTGGACCTATCATTGGAGGCATCACTTACTCATCCGGTGACTTCAACGCCACCATGGCCATCGCTGTCGGCCTCCTCGACTAGGATTTGGCTTTGAAACTATTGATCATGGACAAGAAGGATTTGCTCGCCGAATAGCTGACCCATGGAGCTGGTGTTGAAGAGCAACATTGAACTATCCACACAAGCCGCATGCACACTTCCACTCCAAGAGCAGCGTCGAGACGATGTGGCCTGGAGCCGGGTGGAGAAGCCGGAGAAGAGTCCGGACATCAAATTCGCGCACCAGACTCTAATCAAGTCGACCAGATTATTGATCAATCTGACCTGTTTTCTAGTTCAGGCCGTCACTATGAGGGCCTTTGAGGTCTCGCTCCCCATCCACCTTCGAGAGATGGCTGGATACGAACCGTTCAAGACAACGCTCGTCTTCAGCCTTCCTAGGCCCCATGATTAGTTAGTATCCATCTCCGATTAGCACGCTGTGGTAGCTAACCAGGCCTCAGGGCGGCTTTGCGACAAGGTTGGCAACCGGCTAGTAGCCTCTACAGGCTACATTACATTCTCGTCCTTCTTTGACTCCATACCGGCGATGACAGACTCAAAGAAATCGGGCCATTTGTTGGTCTTGGTTTCATTGGTATCGCCATGTGCATGATCATGACCCCAGTTTTGAGCGACATTTTCGGTGCCGTCGAAGATCTTGAGACGGAGCAGCCAGGCCGATTCGGTTCCTATCGCACTTTTGCCTAGACGGTAGGCTAACAGAACTGATCCAACTCGAGATTATCCCAGCCTTTGGTGTTCTGATCAGGTTCAATAAACAGTACGGCCTATTTGAGTTTGCGTATACCGCGGGGGTTCTCATCGGTCTCGTACTTGGCTTGAAGGTCATCTGGACGAGGTGTCGATGACACTAACCCCTATAATAGCGGAATGACTTGCGTCAGAGTTTGGACGGTTCCGACCGACCCCAAGTTTTGGTGAGTTCGGTGCAAATGTCTGAGATTCGGCTACATTTTAACCTTTTAACCTATGGAAGGCATTGTCAATATGCTCGCCGTCAGGATCATAGCCTTATCGAAAACTTGACCACTTGTACCCCGTCGAACTTGGCCGCCAGTGGAACTGACGAAAAATAATATCAAATAGCATCAGTCGCTGTATTCTCTAAAATCTGCAAGATACTTGGATAGACATCAAGGAGACGTTATATTATCCTCTAAAGTAAGCCTCTTAAAGCGATCATAAAAATCTTTTAGCATCCTATTACATAAGTCAAGTACCAAGAAAACAATTCTTTTGTTTTCCTGGCTTTCCTTGAGCCTTTTAGTACCAGACCTTTATTCGATCCGCATTATCCGCTGTAACCGCCCTGGTCTCCCAATAGTAGTGGCCGGCGCTCATCACGCATGTACGGCATCGTACTATCTCCTTCTGAAAGCATGCGAGCCTTGATAGTAACAAAAATTGTCAGCACCGCACCAGTACACGCTCCTAGTACAGTAAAGGCGACGTTGATGGGAGTAGGGTTTCCATCGAGGGCCCTGTGTATGAGAGCGTCAAGACCTGACTGCGCGAGATTGATTACTCCCGAAACGCATATCAACGTGCCATAGATACGCCCAAAGGTAGTGAAACCAAATATTTTAGTTGCGTAGTCCCTATTTGATATATCAGTAATGATGTGCACGCCTTTGTTGTCAGGTTACTTACGAGATGGCCGAATAGTACAATGGTCGAAAGATGACAAACCCAACAACAGTAACGTAGCCTGCCCACAAGTATGGCAGACAGTTGAGCGTGCCAATAATAATGATAAACGTTGTTAAGAAGCCAACTATCGTGGGTATGCTGTAATTGTTGAGCAGCATGCCTATAAAGGGAGTTGTGACGACCCCTCCCACTGGTAAAGCGATGTCAAAAAAGCGGTTAACCCTTGCGGAGAAGTCGTCAGAACCCAGCATGTATCGATACTGAGAACGTATAGTAGCGATGAAGAAGTTCATGCGCAACATCTGGATACTAGTCAACAAGAGAATGAGCATGAACCAAGGACTGAGCAACTGCCCGCGAGTCGGGACCCCGTGCATGACACCCCACACGCCACTGGCCGTCTGCCGTGCCTCATTGATCCTCCTCCGTTCGTCACGACGTTCGGAGTCTCCGGTTATAGACTCAATTTGGTCTAATTTTGCCATGCGGTGTGCCGCACGAGCGTCTTGTACTCTTGTCAACTCCCCTGCATCTTCCGCGTCGTCGTCTGACTCATGGACATCACGGCTGCTGTCTTGCGCTTCTTCAATCTTGTGCTCAAGTTCGGAAATGGTGTGATAGGACTGTTGTGGCATATAGCTAAGCTCAGCGGCGAGGATGAGAATGGGAACCATGGCATAGCCGAAGAAGAATTTTGCAACGGAAAACCGGCCGCCTGTTGCTTCGTAAACCATGCGGAAGAGAAGAAAAACAGCTGCCGACGCATCGAATGCTCCCGTAGTCATGGCCACAATTATGCCCGAAAACTTTGGAAGAGCATTTGCCAGCTCAAAACTAGGGATGAAAATGAAGGTTCCCCCCAGTGAAAGTAGCACATTGGCCACGAGATAGGCATCGAGCTTGGGAATGGCAAACGAGACGGCCATCAAGAGACTGCCTGAGAGAAGAAGCACGCAAGCGACGATCCAGCAAGTGCGCCTGCCATACTGGTCGAGAATATAGCCAGCTAAAAGCGACGATACATTCGCAGTAACGGATGCGACGGTAAAGAAAAGGTTCAGCCGCAGATCCTGCTCGTCACAAGGGACAATGGCAGCGGGATTCGAGTTGTGCGAAAGACGGTCGTCGCTGCGATGACACAAGTCGCTGTAGACTCCTTCAGCAACCAAGACAGGTTTAAGTGCAGCGAAGCCAAATACGATGCCGGCAGACAACCAGCAAGCTGCGATAGCAGTCGCTACCTGGACTAAGAAGCCGTAGGGTCAGACATGTGCAGTTTTGGCAGAGAATTCAAAGGGCTTGTACCGATTCGTTTCGCAACAGAAACCTTGTATGCAGCGATGTGGGCTTCTTCGGAATCCGAGCCGGCTGGTGAAAAGTTCATGCGTTGCCACTCAGGTTTGCTGGGGGTTGCAACGCGAGCCACCGATAAAGTCTCTTGGTCTGCGTTGCTCGAGGGACGCTCATCCGCGGGGGGAAATTTATACTCGAAGCCGTCGGCTTGAGTTACGTGCTGGGCCAACGACATTTCCCCAGGGGAGGGGTGTATGATGTGTAACCCAAATTACTCTTAAGCCTAGAGTCGCAGGATGATGCACCCAGGGGAGCGTTGATAGACAGTGGAATATGACTTGTACAAGCAGGCAATATCACAATAGGGTGTCAACTGGTCTGTTCCTCCCAACTGGGCATGGGTCGCCGCAGAACAAATACGGTTATGTTATTCAATGGCCTATGAATGTAAACGCAGTCAGCAGCAGAATATTCCAGAGAGTGAATATACAGGGAGGGGACCTTGTCTACCTATATGTGCACCAAACAGACCGTTGATCCATTGAATGACTGGAGGCGGCGCGCTGGTCTTCAAGAACTCATATGCATTCTCAGCAACCGAATAAAGAGTCGCATGGAATGGGTGTAGCGTGAAAACGTTTATAAAGAGCTCTAGCTTAGTAAGCCCTGCATAGGTTTTTGGTAGCCGAGCGATTTGATAAAGCGGACATTTCCTGATCGCTGCGGGAATCTCTGATCCCAAGATCCCTGAACTTGCCTGAAGGAACACAAGCATGCATGTGTGGTAAAAGGCTAGAAACTTCGGCTGGCCCACCTTATTCAACGGGCTATACCTAAACTGGGTGACTCGGAGAATCATCAGTTTTGGCGGCTGTCTGGTTTTGAAATTTTTACATGGCATACATACTCCCTACATCTTCGTCGTAATCGAAAGAGCATGCATTTACAGCGCCGTTTGATTCGCGCTTCAGACGAGACGCTGCCCGCGACCAGTTGACCTGGAGCACCTCCTCATGACACTAAAGTCCCAAAATTTGGCGCAAGCTGCGTCAACTGGTCGGCTAAAGTTTAACTCGCGTGTTACGTTGACATCAGATGTCCACTAGCTTTGGTGCATTGGGCACTCCACAACAAGACCCGGTCACAGGCCCAGCATTCAACGGGCAATGGGTCAAGGTGTGTATAGGTTCGAACTGTCCAAGAGTTGAAAGTAGGGGGTAAAGAGTCCTGCTGCAGATGAGCTTCACCCGGGAGGCCGAGGTTTCGACCAGCTCATAGTACAAGTCTCAATCTATGGCTCTCTCTCCTACAACCGTCCATCCAGCATGTCATTGGCCCCCCCAGGCCACAACCCAACGTGTCCTCACCTCTACTGCATGGTTTGTCGTGTCCCGGGTTAGGCATTCAGGGCTCCCACCCATTACCGGCATCTTGGGCTGTGGCCCATGGCAACAATGGTCAACCCTTGGATTTCCTGGTCAGAATTATCTCGCGACTTCGCCGAGGCTACTGCCGCAGTCCATCCTCCAGTAACCAGGCGATGGAAATGGTGTAGGGGCGGCGGCAGGGGAAAACCCTTTCAATGAATCAAAGATTATTAAGCACTTTGCCTTTGAAGAGAAAACCTCCGCGACCAGCCGCCCGTTGTTTAGAAGAACTAGCCTTCTAATGCTCGTAGCTCCTGGGTCCCGAAGAAACTCGGACCTCATTGTCGAGACCGGCTTTGCAGAGGATGATGGATTTTCCGTACGTCATCTTCTATGCTGTTAGTACAATGGGCGCGCGCAGCGAAAAGCATGGTCGAGTGGCCTGCAGATTTCATCCCACTACCAGCCCACTAACAGCTTCATGGAGAGGAAAAAAACGGAGAGTTGAAGGGAGAGGTCGGTTTGATTTGATCTACCGTTTAAGCGCCGGAAGCATACAGCTACACATATCCCTTACAGGGACAAGCGGCGTGCTAAGGCTAGGCACAACTAAATACCAAGTAAAAACGGAACTCAAGTGCGCCCTCCGCACTCGCAGTAACTCTTTGCTTTCTGCGTAAACGCCATTCATGTTGAACAATCGTTGGGGCTGGACTTTTAGCGGTCAAGTCCCATGCCTTGGCAACTTTAGGGGTGCTTGAGATATTTTATCTGACCTTTTTTTTCTAGCACTATGCGTAAGAGACATCAGCCAAACGACCGATGAGTTGTTCTGTCCAAAGGAGCGAGCGACGAATTCTATTCAATCGAGTCAATCTACGAAGGCCTGAGTATCCAGCCTCTAGCCTTGCCACCTGATTTCCTAGTTACATCGACAGGATAGCAATTTCGACATCTTTATACAAGATATCCTCAAAACTTGGTCTTCACTGTCGGTCGCCTTTCGCAATCCTATCGGCCTGACCTTCTGCAGCTGTTTTCCCTCCAGGACGCTCCGTCGGAGTGTTCTTGGACTTGTCGGCAGCGGCTGCGCCTTCAGGTGTATCCTTAAACTTGGTGCTGCCGCGGAATCCCTTTCGTTGGGCATTGGTAAGTTGAGTTCTCTCTTCCTGCTCTTGAGTAGGAAATCCCCCGTTGTTCGGTGCAGGTGCCTTGGCAATCCTGTCAGCCTGACCTTCTGCAGCTGTTTGCCCTCCAGGGCGCTCCGTCGCACGCTGCAGAATATCAGTTATCTGCTCGCTGGCTGAAATATCTCGGGTCTGCAGGTCACCCTGGTCTCTTGAAACAGTCGGAGCGGCGTGGAGCCCTTGAGCAGCCAAGGCCACTATATTCCAGGTTAGCTTAGTGCCCTATAATTTAAATAGTTTTGTCACGTACAAGATAGAAAACAGCTAAGGCGAACCATGTTGATAATGGGAGTAGCAAATTTTAAAGGCTAGCTTAGGGATGGCTGGTGCGGCAAGAGATCGTGGAATAAACAGAGTTTTAAGAACAAGGTCTTTGCTGGAAATGGAAAACCAGTTCTTACTTACCTGGGCATCTAGTAGCGTTCCTGTGCACCTTATATAGCTCTCCCGCCTGAAGTGTTCCTATCTCAACGCATGATGATTGAGTCAATGATTAGTAGGAACGTAGTCATATTGAAACGGTAACCACATGTCTACATGTGCTGGGGTTGATCGTAACACTGGTGAGACGCTCTGAAACATCTCATCATTGTGTCAAGCGACTGCAATATCGGGGCTCTTGCTGTTAGAGTCGCCCTTGTTGACTTTGTTAGCATGAATGGTTGCCACATTGTCGAAACAAACCAACGAATCAGTATATTAAAGATTCTTTGATTTAACAGTTAATGCACATTTACCTTAGTCAAGTATGTGCAGCAAGAGACTCTCATTGGATATTGTCGCAATGAATGCATGATGTTTGACGAGTACATGAAACCAATATGTTAGTAATCCACGCTGCTACTCATAATGGGAGCCCGCACCTCAGAACAGTCAGCCGCGATTGTCTCATGGTCAATACCGTTCGCGGCGGCCCATAAACGGCCAGTTTGTAGAGTTGTGTGCCATATGCGTGACAGCAAAGCGTTGTTTTGGTAGCCCAGTCCTGGAGATAACCGTAATTGGTTCACGCTTTAATCCGGCAATTCATGGAGTTATTTTCAAACGAGGGAAAAACTCCGTACAGGACTGCGAATGGGAATCTATGACTCGAGCGTATAACTCTTAAGCCTGCAACATAAGACCCGGCTTCCCTCCGCAGGAGGTCTAGTGCCCAGACATGAATAACAGGGCAGTATATTTGAGTCTATAAAACCCACCCCACTTCGTGACTGATACATGGAAACATGGAACTGTTGCACCACAGGACTTGCATAATTCCTGGAGCAACTGATGAAATTTCCAAAGCAACATCGAAAGCTTTGGTTACAACCCGGCCTCCATGCCAGCGTGCCTGCGTGCACACTAGGGCCAGGTCATATGATCGCTAGTTTTGCGCAAAGTAGATTACGCACACTTGGCCACAGCTCACAGGCTGCCCAAAAAACCCGCACAATGGAGGCGACTTTGGAGGTCAACAAATGCGGGTATTCGCCGCCATGTTGCCCGTCTTGAATCGTTATCAAGCTGACAAATCAGCCATCGGGCCGCTCTATTCTCCATCCGGAAGTAAAGGATGCAGGAACCAACAGGAATCATCCCGCAACGTGTCGTGCTATTCGAGTAAGGGGGTGTCATAATGCCAAGACAACATGGCTAAATAATCACCTAGCAACCCACGTCACGGACATGAGCACGAGCAGAGGTCCACCGAGGCGGGTCACGGAGTGCCAGAAAACGCTGCAGAGCCTGCCACAAGAAAGAGGTCGACTTGGCGTTCGTTACTGAAAAGCGGCATTGCCGCTGCTCTCGACCTCTCTGGATTTATGCTCTCCTTCTTTGCCTTGCCTCTTCATGCTGCTGTATGATGGCTCTTTCGCCTAGTGATGGTGACGAGCCCCGGTCGTCGTGTCCCGTTTGCCGTGATGATCTCACCATACTTCCCTATCACAGGTCCCCTTCGAGGGGCAGGTCGACTGGGACTGAGAAGGGGCTTAAATAATGGGCAACGTCTAGAGGTGGGCTTTTACTAGTCGCCAACCCGCTGGCCTTGCTGTTCTAGCACGCTCCTGCTCACCTCGCTGCTTCGTCGTTCTCTTTCTCTTTTCTACGTGAGTGACAGTGACATGAGCCGCCAAGGTGGACGTTGTCGGCCTACCGAACTCCTGGGCTCTGCCCTCAGCTCCGGGTTCAAGCTCATTGCCCAGCTCTCAAGCTTGGTCACCATCTCTTCTCGAGACAATGTACAATGATACGGCTTCCCATCCACATCAAGATGTCATAGTCCAAATTTCGCTTCGAGAAATCATAGCAGCTCAATCATATCCTCTGTACTGATGGATAAGCGGGCTGGGCCGGAGCATGCTCACAAATCATGTTTTGTTCCTAGGCAAGATGACGGCGAGGCGGCACATGAGAAGTTGAGAACAACTGTCCCTCTTTCATGACTCGCTACGCATGGACAATTCTGTTCATGTAAATCTTACTACATATAGCTAAGCTTATAATAAGTTGTATTATTTACTCAAGCTTATGCGCTTAAGATATATACATCGCGTTTCTTTTGTTAAGAATTTTTATACATTATTAATATATTGCATATCTCTTCCCCTAGAAGGTCAAGCGACTTCAATAGTTCAAACTGCATTTATATAAAATAGCAGGTAAATAACATAATTCTATACAGAGAAACTAATAAACACTTCACAAAAATCAAGCATCAATGATATTTACCACCGGGGACGTAGAGCGCTCTAAAGGCCGACCCGGATCTGCTTACTAACGCATGTGCACTGTCGCATTCCACTATTCTTCCCCCTCGCAAAACCGCAACCCGGTCGAACCAATCGATATGCGAGTACCGGTGAATGATAGATATGACTGTTCTATCCTTAAACTCGGCCTCAAGAATGTGCTGCATGAGAGCTTCTGTCTTCTCATCAACGCTAGATGTTCCATCCAGGTTAGCAAATTTGCGAAATGCCGAGATAGCGAGGCCCCAATTTTAAATCATACCTGCTCATTGCCTCGTCAAAGATGATAACCTTGCTAGGGACCAACAAGGCCCTCGTCAGACAAAATAGCTGCTGCTCTCCATGAGACCACTGCGATGACCTGAATTCTTCACCAAGGCTTCCATTCGAGCCCGTCTCCAGCTTGTCCCAAAGACCAGCGCCAACGCGTCGCAGCATCGCCTCAATTGACGCGTCGGAGGCTATGCCTCTGGGATCCAGGTTGAATCTGAGGCTTCCAGGCATAAAGAACGGCTCTTGCGGCACCACGTTGAAATGGCCACGCATGCTCTCCCCGTCCAACCTGGCTACATCTGTGTCATCTATCACGACTCGTCCGCTCCGAACATTCATCATCTGCATCATGGCCATGATCAGTGACGTTTTTCCACTCCCAGATGATCCACAAACTGCTAATTTTTCGCCGGCAGCAACATCGAGATTAATATCTCTTAGTACGACTTCGGACCTTGGTCTGCAAGCATTGTATCAGACCATGTACTCCCTACTTGCACTGTGACGGTGCAAAGTCTAGCTTGCGAGTTACTTACGTGTGTGCCGCCGTGAGGCGCTGTACTTGCACCCTGCCGCTTTGGGGCCACGAATTTGAAGGCGCTGGTGATCTACCCAAGTCTGATGGAGCCTCCTTCACAAACTGCTGTACCCTTGCCACCGCTCCGATCGAAGTCTCTAGTTTTGTCCAGGACTGGATTGTCTGAATTAGCAGGCCGTTGAATTGAAGTGTCAAGACTAATGCCACTCCCAGCGCGCCGGGTCCGAGACCGTTGTCGGTCAGAGACAACGCAATCGCGACAAGGGCGACTGCTAAAGCTCCTGCCACGAGGTCCACTACCAGTGTTAGCCACTGCTGCACACAAAAAAGCATATAAAATGGCCGTTGTGATCGGTTTAATATGCCTGCCAGGCGGTCGCTGAAGGCCATCTCCCAACCGAACGCCCGGATAGTTGCAATGCCGCTGATGGTGTCTGTGAAGTGAGAGTACAACGGGGCTTTTGCCTCGATTTCCAGCATTCGAAGTTGTCTGGACGTTCGCAAGTAGTAACGCTGAACGACAAACAGAACTCCACCAAGGACTGGAACTACAGCTGCAAGGTATCTTCCCAAAACGCACAAGACAACGAGCTGAACCAGGCACCAAGCAAATCCTGAAATCAAGCGCATCATTAGTGAGTGTCCTTCCTCTACGAACTAGAAATAAGGAAGCGTCCACACCGGATGTAAACTGAAGGGCTTGAGACGGCAAGGTCATATCGATGAGGTTCATATCTTGGCTAAATCTGTGGTGTCAATGCGTCAGTCGGCGCTCATGCATTTTCAGGCAGGATGCTGGCAAGATGTACCTATTCGTTATGGATCCAAGGTCTGACTCGAGGAAGAAGTAAAATGGTGCACTACGAAGTGGTTCGCAGTAACGTTAGCGGACGAATTACATGGGAGTGTGATTGCGTGACTGCCATTTTTACCTGACAACTGCGTGCAGCAGGTCCGTGTGAAGTTTGATCGCAGTGTCCCTGACTATATAAAGGAAAAAGGTCCTAGAGCATACAGGGTCAGACAATATGTGCAAGACTAAACAATAAGACCGTATTTTTACGGTAGGTGCAACTGTGCAACTGACCAGCATTCAAAGAAAACTCCTATTATAGCAAGAGCCACCAATAGGAAGTAGATCCCGAGGTATAACCCGAGCTGTTGGTTTCCTCGTTCTGCACTCGCCGAAGTCCATCGATCTACCCACAATGCTGCCGTTTACTTAGCGGTTGGATCATCACCGACAGGCACTGAAAGCATGGACTTACTGGAATAGGAGTTGGAGATGGCGCCAACGAGAGTAGACAATGCCCATAAGAACAATGAGAGCTTGCCTGCCTTTTTTCCATAATACGCGTAAACGCTCCAGTTGCGTTTTCGTCTGCTGAATCCACTATTGGGGCTGCCGATCTGGCCCTGTCGCCCCGGGGCGGTAGACTTGAGGCCCTTTGGTTCCACCTCAGGACCAGCTGAACCATCTTCGTCCGCCAGGTCCGAATTGAAGTCGGTTTTATGTCCGTCCCATTTGAGCATATCAGGTCTTCGTGCTTTAATATGTCCGTAAGATCCAGTATCCAAAACGAACCCATCCTGGAGAAGAACTATGCTGTCCATGTAAGGAAGTAAACTCGCTGTAAAAATGTCAGTGCACACGGATTACATGGCACGATGGCGGATCAGTACACAGAAGAACTTACAGCCATTGACGGCGAGAACCACCGAGATACCTGCTTTGCGAAAGTGGCCATCTGTGTGGAACAGGCTGGTCTGTACCGTATGAGATGCCTTTGGGTCCAAGCCGCTAGTGAAATCATCCAAGATAACAACCGGTAGTTTTGAATAAACGGCACGAGCGAGCGCCTAGAAAACGAATGTTAGGTACACGACATTCAACGTTGGAAGATTCCGTGGCCCGGCATACCACTCGCTGGCGCTGACCTCCGCTAAGAGACGAGCCGTTCTCACCCACAACGGTCATGAGACCCCCAGGTAAGTTTTCCAGGTCTTCACGAAGCGCGCAACATTGAACGACGTAGTTGAACCACGCTTGATCGAATTCCAGCTGGCCAATGATGTTGCTTTTGATGGTGTCATTCGTTAACCACGGCTTTTGGGAACAAAATGCCACCTCGGAGGTGATATGAGACTGCATTTCGCCGGAAACTAGGGTCGTTTCTCCGATAACGCTAGCTAGAAGTGAGGTTTTGCCTGACCCCACTGGCCCAATAATGGCCGTAAAGCCAGCGGGAATGCTGAAGTTGAGGTTGCGGAGAACTATTTGACCTCCATGATTCTTTGGGAACCAAGAGACGTCTGCGGATTGGAATGTTACCAGGTGCGGAGAGCAGGAGTGTCCGGCACGAGAACGCAAGGGCATAGCAAACGTGTCTTCCTCGAGAGGGCTCTGCGATTCCAGGTGCCGGGAAGGCGGGTTGATCATCAAGAATTTCTCAATGCGTGAGAAGCAAGATACAGCCTGGGTGAGCGATGGCAAGGCCTGGCAGAACATGAGCAGCGGTTCTGTAACTAGGTTGATGAGGGCAAGAGATGTGAAGGCCTGAGTGACTAGAAGCGATTGATCGCCGCTGGTCAGTGCAATGAGAGCATAGATGGCTAGTGTAAAGAAAGGTGCCAGCGACCCAGGAGCATTTCCTGCAGTCAGTGGTGGTTAGCCCTCGAGCCGTAGTCATTCTAGCTCGGTTGGAGTAACTGACCGATAATAATGGCCCATACACGCAGTATCCGAAACTTTCCCGACACGTCGATTTCGATGGTTCGCAGCTTCTCGATTGCTTGACCCCAGTGATTCGTGAGGCCAAGCATCTTGGCTGATTTTATATTGCTTAGCATATTGGACGTTGCGCTTATCCTCCTCTCAACACAGTCCACCCAACGTTTCTGGGCTGGTCCAAAGTGCTTGGCAACGAGCGATGTTCCAACTAGACTTACTGACGAGAAGTTAGTACATGTTGGTGCAGCACTGTCGGTCCTAGTAGCCAAAGGGGTGTTCACTCACTCACGCAGATCACAACTGGTGCGATTGAGGCGTAAAGAACCTGGCGGGTAAGAAGCCAAACACCAATGGCGACCTCTGGAACTGCTGCCCATGTTTCGTGAAAGAATCTCAATGACTCTACAATTATCTCCACATCAGTGCCCATAAAAGTAAGTGCCGCTGAATCTTCCACATCTCGAGACTGAAGCGACACTGTTTGGCGGTAGATCTTTGCTGTCAGACCTGCTCGTACTTTGGCGAGCATACGATAAGTTTGACGCCAGTATACTGCCCTCGATACCTGGGAACACAACGGTTAGTGGTTCCGTCTGTCGCGGTTTTCGTGGAGGAGAACGCGAAACTGCATCGACTGGAAGCTAACTTACTGCAATACCCAAGTAAACCAACGCGAATGCTCCCACTAAGGCCTGTCCGAAGCGCTCATGGTCGTCCTCGTTTGTTTTGCCACTTAAATGCGATACCGCCGCTTGAATAAGAAAGGGTTGGCAAAATGTGAAAGCGGACAGCATCAACCGTGGCACAATCGCGGAAATGAGGGACCAGCTGTTGGCTTCAAAGGTCGCTCGTACGAGGCGGAACCCAAGGCGCCCTCCCTGGGTGCGGCGCCAGGCCGCCTCCAGTTCAGTCCAGGTTGCCAATTCCTTCATATCCTTGTCAATGTCGGGTAAGTCGTCGACAAAAAACACACTACTATATCCCTTTCGAAATACAGGAAGCAGCCAAATAAAAAAACTGCGGCTCCAAAAGCTCGTCATTTGCTCAAAGGTAAGCTCATCCTTGAATACGGGCCGCAAGTACTTTGTTTTCCCAAAGCATTCAATGGTGGCAACACTGGCAGTAAGGATAAGCAAAATGGTCCATATGGTCTGCTGTATCAAATGGTCTGACGAAAGTAGCCAGAGTGTGCGCAGTCGCGGGATACCGAGAATGGTGGATGCGGAGTAGTAGAGCACCAATACGTCTGACGGTTTGACAGAACGCTGATCGACGAGAAACGAAAGAGCCAGTGCCCCGACGTTTGAGGAAACAGACAGCACCTCTGTGGCAATGGCCATTCGGGTGTGCAGAGCGCTAGATTGTACACGCAATGCGAGAGCAACCAGATGAAAAATGATGAGGGCGACCAAGGCGGCTGATTTGTACGCCGCGAGCCGATATGAAGCGGTCACAATCGGCATCCTCCACAGTTTACGGAGCTGAAGGGGGAGTATTAGCACCATGGCGGCAGCAGGTAGAGCAATGAAGAATGCGTCCTCAAACAGCAGCGTGAAGTCGAAGGATCGGCACGCGACATTGACTCTTGGACCGAGGCTGTCATCGCTGCCAACAGGGCATTGCATCGTCGTAAATTCTGTCTCGATTTACTTGCACGAGTTTGTTTTGGGCGTTTTGAATTCTGAGCAGTGAAATAGTTCCGCATCCAAACTGATCCGACAGAGCCAGAAGTTAGAACCACGCTCCCGGGGTGTCAATGTACCTCGTAACGATGGCACGAGCGTGCAGTAAAAACGTAGAGAAGGGACTATATGTTGGAAATTCACGGCGTCGCTGCCCACTACTTCGTGTCACCCAATTCTTTGAGTCGAAAGAATCAGAGTTTCCAGGGGGTTTCTAAGGGGATGAGCTGCATACCATGCTTGGACCCTTGGGCCTTGGCAATCAGACAAATCGGACCATGGCTGCGCGTGAAAGACACTAGTTGGCTTCCTTGGCTCACTGCGGTGAGCGCAAAAGCTCGGGTCAGGGCTGGAAGACGAATGAGATTGTAGAATAGCGATGGAGATGAAGCTGTTGGTTCTATTGTCCGCGCAGCGTGGCGGTCTTGTGCCGTCACTGCCGTGTCTGATCGCCGCATGGGGAAGGTGCGATTGGCCAACAACTCGACACTGGGGGTCCCGCACACGTGACCATGGGGCCCCAGCAACTAACATGTGCATGTTCAAGCTTGATGTCCGTTATATGGGGCCTCATCGGGCCGGTCCGCTTGTTTCCACCAGCCAAATCTGCTCGGGATTGCTTCTCTTTTTCGTCCTTGGTGCCGTCGGCACAATAGCCGTTCACCTCGCTACTCGAAGATATGCACTGGCAAAGCACATAATTTTCCCTGTTACTATTGGCGGCGCAGGGTCTATGCCGCCGAAACGCCGTTCAACTATCTGACGTCTTCTGGACTGAGAGGATCTACGTCTCCATCCTCACCACCCACCGCACCTGGCACTTGACCCGCTGTCGGCGCCGTTGAAACGGCCACTAATGCCAACGCAAAGCAGCCACAAGCTATCAAATATGGCATCCCAATCCACAGCCCACCCATCCGGAGCCCCCAGCCAAATGCGCCCGCAAACAAAGGCCCACCAGTGAGCATACCACCATATAGCAAGACTGAGATTGTCGTATAAAGTGCTGCGAGATGCCGCTTCTCGACCATGCTTGTCACTATACTTCGCGCAGGGACACTGAACGCCAGTCCCATGCTATATAGTACTTGGCCGAGGACAAGGATAGGCCAAGATCCTGCAGCAAAGATGATACTTGTCCCAAGGACGAGGAAAAAGCCACTGATTTGGGCAATGCCTTTATCTTTGGCGATTTCATGTAGCTTGAGACGCCATAACAGGAGAGTAGATAGAGCAGGAATGCCGATGGCGTGCACAATCAAATTGATTCCCGCGCCAAGGGACACGAGATACGAAGCCTGATACGTCGGCGGTCAGAACAATGTGCTACGGGCACAGTGACCACTGTGCTAATGATGTACGTACCTTGCCCAAAGACCAATTCAAGCGCTTCGAGGCGTACTGCAAAAGCAGAGACCCGCTTGCCTGCTGCCCGATGCTGCATGGGAAGAAGCATACAAGTACCAGGACAAGTCGGGCGTTTTGCCTGACCCATTTCATCATCGCGGCAAAGCCTGCCACCAAGTTCGTCCACCGAACTTGAAAGCCATACTTGGCGCCTGTGGATGTAGTTTGATCGTCACGGTGGTGGTTGGAGACACCAGTAATGCCGGAGTCGCGTTCTTCCGGTGGCAGTGTCTCCGGTAGAAAGATCAGCGCTCCAAGGAAGCCCAAAGCAGTCACCACGGAGGAGATGAGCATGGGAATCCAAGGGTTGACGGATATCAATGTGCCTCCTACAGGGACAAAGACAAACTGAGCAATCATAATGGCTGATTGAAGCTGAGAGAAGGCCGTCGTTCTATTCGTGGCAACAAGGAATAGTCAGTTTCGTGCTGAACCTGCGGAGCTGAAGAATCGAATTCCGCCATACCTTTGATCGCTTGGGCAAACATCGGCAACCATTACATACGAAATAGATGACAGAGATGCGGCGCCGGCTCCGATCATTTGCCACAAGCCGCCGAACCAAACCGCTCGAACGGGGAAGACGTGGGAGAACCAGACTAGTAAATCTCAGTACACTGAAGCCATATCCTGTCCATGTGAGAGGTGCAGTCTCTGAACACCGAGCAGAGAATACTAGTGGTAGTTACTTACAAATGATTCGCATCCACAGGTCATTCATACCTATGCCTACAATGGCGAGAAGAAATACCTTTTTGCGCCCGATGCGGTCTGCCAAAGCTCCATATGGAACAGCCAGGACAATGGCTGGTAGCTCAGTCAGCGCCACGGCTCGCCACCTTCTGGACTCTTGGTTTAATCTAGTCTCTGTGGCCATCAAACGTACCTGGCAGCATCTCAAACACATCTTTCCAACCGTTAATAAAGGCGACTTCGCTCTGTACAGCGTCCACCTGGCATCGACCGTCGTCCCCGGATACAGGTAGTCCTCGCTCATAGTAACTTTCGCAGACGATGTCCTGTAATATGGCTAGTTGGGCTGCGAAGCTGACATAGCTTCCAATATTCAAAAAGATTTGAATTGCGGCCACGACGAGGATTGTGTGGCGCGCACTCGGGACGGTCGAGGGTTCGGGTTGAGGCGCTGCATCATGGCCATCTTGTGAACGCAGCAGGCGTGTGGACTCGTTTGCCTCTCTTTCTTCCATTGATGGGGTAGCTGAGGACATCAGGCTGCCGACATGCCAGCTGGAGTCTGGCTTGACGGACAGAAGACGGTGGATGTAGAATGGAACAACGACCAGACCTGGCAGCAGGTCTGGTGCTCAGTGCTGACTGTGTCTCGTCAACGGCACCAGTTGACGTGCTTACGGGGTCAAGTCGCTGCCGGGAACTTATGTCAGCGGTCTGGTCTGGGTAATTCTTGGTTGGCTGCAGCGCGACCAGGCCATCAATCGATCCCAGCCAACTTGACAATCATCCACGCCAGACCAGTTGACATGTTGACATTGAACATGCCAAGCAAAACTAAAATAAACCAGTACTCTATTCCGCTGTGTAGGTTGGCATCTTATCTACGTCACTCTACATCGCCAGCCAATCACCCTCCATCAAAGCGCCTGGCGTTATTTGTCACTTGACGTCAACTGGTCAAACTTTGCGAGCCAGACATCCATGTTTCTGACGGCTTCAATCCCGCCGAGCCGCTCGACGCTCTCGGCAACGGCATCCTTCAGACCGTTCAACATGAGTGCGATGCGCGGACCATGACGCTGCTCTACAAGCTGTCGCTCGTTCTCGAATTCCCTGGCCTTGAGCAGCATTCGCACCTCCCGTGAGCCTTCGCGGTTCTTTTCGCCAGGCGTCATGGTCTTGTGCGAGGCCAGTCTGAATCCAGCCGACTCGCCTGCCTGTGTCATTTGGCTTGGCGTTAATGGCGATCGTATGTTCCATTCCTCGCGGTCGCTCAACAATGCTTCCACAGTGCTGTTGTACTGCGCCGCCAGTACGTGAGGAAACGCCGCGGGCATAGAGGTTGAGAAGCTGAACTCGGCAATGAGAACGGATCGTGTCCATGGTTGCAGCGTCTCCATCAGCTCCTGAAGCATTGTGGCTTCTCAAAGAACCACACACAATGACCCAAGAGGACATGGTCGAACCGCGGCGTGTCTTGTCCGAGGGATGATATATAGCTTGGGCCAGTATTGTTGATGAATGTGATGCGACTGCCAATGGGGGAAGCTGCGAGATACTTTTGAGATTCGATCACGCAGGGCGTTCCTAAAACCAGTAAAGTGAACCGTCAGCATGCGATTCAATCTTAATTGATCGTGAATGAGGGGCTTATACCCCAACCAGGAGGCGCCGGGTCAACAGCAACGACTCTACCAGTTGGTCCAACCGCGTCAGCAAGGCAAACGGTGAATTCTCCCTGACCACATCCGATTTCAAGTACACTGGACCCAGAAGCTATCTTCCAATACTCCAACATCCGCTGTCTGTACTCAATACCAGCTACGTGATTTTCACGATTGGTCTGGTAGAACAGGTATGACATTAGCTGCTCTGGAGAGCTAGCAACCCGGCCAGCATTTGCCTCAAATGACGCCATTATGGCTAGGCTAGGGAAGTAGACGAGAAAAGCCTTGTTGTGTTGAAAATTGGAGTCGCTCACCATGACCGGGTGGTCGAGCCATGGACACAGCGCAGTCGCCGGCACACCCTATATCCTGTCCCACGTTTAGTCCTGGCTCACACCGCCATCACACGATGACATGCGTAAAGTGCCTCTTCTACTATGCAGAATAGGCGTCTTACCCACATTCACCTTCTCATGACATATCGTTCCTGTTGGCTCGCGTTTCTTCGACGCTACGCGAATGAAGCTTCTCATCCAACCGGCCCGGCCTGAAGGTCGGTCGTGAAACAAGCAGATGCAGCGACGCACACGCCCGGATATTTCCCCACCATTTCTTACCTTGAACATATTGCTGACCGCATGTTTCAATCGTAATCTTGACATTGCTTTCCGTGGACATGTGGAACGTGACAAAAGTTCGTCGACGCGAATCGTCGCGGTGACACGTTTCGGTGATTTCCGTATGAGGCGAGAGCTGCATTTCTGGTCCAACACAAACGCAATCATTGATGCTCATTCTTAGTCGCCAGCCTAACCCACTGCCAAGTTTCGTACCAATCTTACGCGCATCTAGGGTGTAAAAGGTCCACGGGTACCCGTGTGGGTTGCTTACCCGTGGGCTTTAGGTAGGTAATGGGTAGGAAAAAAAGACTTAAATGGATTCGTGGGGGAAAATAGGGTACCTATAATTATTTATTAGGAATATTAGGTGTTTTTAAGTACTTAAATAAGACTTATATAATTTACTTTATGCTTTAAACTTAAGACTTATTATAAATATAATTAAATATTTATATTATTATACGTTTATAGGTATTTGTAGGGTACTTATCTTTATATTAGGTTACCTGTGGTATACCTAAACCACCTACATAATAAAATAGGTAGCCCACGAATAACCCAAGAAAAACTTGGATACCCACGGGTGCCCACGGGTACCCGTTTTTACACTCTACGCGCATCATGAGCCCGGTCGGTGCCTTGTCTAACATTCTGCTACTTTATCTGGCCATGGATTGGGAACCACACAGACCTCGGTGCTTTGCCGAAGCAATTACTTTGGTCTCTATCTTCCCGCCTTTCCCGTTGGCGCCTCTTCGTGTGCATGCGCAACATGGCGGAGACTACGTACCTCGTCTGGGGCCAGAAAGGATTGCTACTATGGTCGCAGTGCTGGTACAGCCTGGCCATGGCAATTCTCACTAGGATGTATTGGCAATGTCCGGTAGGCTTTGCAACTGCACGTAGATGCTCCAGTCTGTTCTTTGGTATTGCTGAAGATTTCAAGCTTTTTTCATTGTGTATTACATGATGTATGGCCTCACAAAGCCGTCTTATAGTATCTATTAACAACACAGTATCCATGCCGCTGGTGTCGCTGATGATCCGATGAAGCTCAATCCTCTCGTCCAGACATCGGCGATAATAGCATATAAAGACGACCCAATCAGGCATCTTTGCTGGAATTCATGGTCACCGGAACCTCGATGAGAAAGAAGTGATCTGGCGTTGGATTGCGAATTAGGCGTCCGCAGTGCTTGACATGATGCAGACTGTCAAACCGTTCCTCCATGATGATCTTGGTGTGTCGCATACGATGGTATTTTTGCCAGTAAAATAGGCAATGAGCAATATGCCAGTCGCGCGATGCCCAAAACGAACCACCCGTATCACCCAAGGCCGCAACCTCGCTCTTATTCAGTGGGACTTTGCCTTCTTCGTCGGCAAAATATGCCCAGGCACCGTCAGGCCCAGGCCCAGCCTTGTCAAACTCAGCCGTGAGCTCATCATCTCTACAGTAGGGTGGGAGCCAAGCTGTAGCAAGTGTGTCGTATGTACAGTTTCGTGAGATTGCCTCTCGAATGGAAGTACCACAGTCGCATAGATTGAGAAGAGGTGGAAGTACTTCAGGATGATATCCATCAATCTTGCTAATAGCTTTGTGCGATTGTGACATGTGTGATGAGTGCCCGGACGAGCTGCTACTTGGCTGTAGAGCCGATGACGCTTGGAGACCCAACGACACAATGCCCCAGATCGCCAGGACGCGTGTCAAGAATTGAAATGCTCTCGATATATACTGCATCTTGGGTGAGCGTGTATCATTGTATCCCTTCTTCTCATGGTACGATGGAGAATGTCCATTTTCGAATACGTCCTCGGCATCGTGTTCTTGGTCGTAGGTGAGCAGCGGAACGCGAGACGACATGGCGACAATTACGCTCCCGTAGAGAGAGCAGAATTGAACAAAGTGAATCAGATACAAGGTTCTTGAGGCCAGAGAAAATTGGTGGTAGATTGAGTGCAAAAAGACCCTTAGTATCAGGATTATTGCACAGGTAAGTTGGGGGCAAGCAGCGTCATAGCTAGCACTGGAAATGTTCGATTTCGTGCACTCAATATCGGCTGTCATCCCTCACAGTTGGCTACTACAGACGGAGCAACAATTCCGTTTGAAGAGAGACAAGCGAGTAGTTCTAGGTGTTCTCTCGGTTGTTTCTCGCGAATAGTCCAGCTTTGGAAATGAACAAAGACGGCATCGCCACTCCTGCAGCCGTGGCGATTGGGGTTACATTGCATATCTGACGATGAAAGCATATGCAGTTGGCCATAATGCTCAAACATGGTGGTGGTGGCGTGTATTTTGGCGATCTTTGTTTGTCCAACTTTCATCTAGAAGGGGAATAGCCGAGGACCTGGTCTTGGTCGTTTTCGTTTTCGTTTTCGTCTAGGTTGATATCATGAAGATGCAATGTAGCACTAATCTTGGTTCGAATGCTCACCCAGTCTTGGGGATACCGACTCGCCCTTCAATTTTCCGGTGGCTCACGTCCAACTGTCTTTTTTTTGCCCTCGCCCTCGACCTCCATTGTGCGTTCATACCGCTTGTCATCTTGTATTATCTCGGTTGTTTCTCGGTTGTTTCACTCGTTTCTGCTTCGCCATGCTATCGGAGAAGCGACACAGCGCTTACACACCACTAGACAATGAGGAAAGGGCTCTGAGAAGCTCTTCTTCTTCAACAAAAACAAAAGTAAACGATGAGGACAATGACAACTTGAGCATTCCCAGACCACGATTGGAACAGGGGCATTCCATGGTGTGGCATATGTGGCACCGGTGGCCCAACTCAGTCTGGTTCCATGCAATCTTCATGACCGCCAACCTCCTTTTGTTCGGAATTTCTATATATGCCAACAGCAAGTCTCTGTATACGTGTCTTCAAAGTACAAAAAATGATAAATGTACGGTAATATTCTTCGCCTTTGCTCAATAAGGATGCTAACACATTGTCGCCAGCCATCTTCCGGGACTCGATACACTTCGAAGAACGATACTTCAATGTGCGATCTGTCTACAGATCTGACGGAACCCTGAACAGAAATAAATCCAATGTTGTTTTCTCTGGGCCTCCTCGCCCAGAGCTAGAAGAAGCATGGGACAATATCCTACACTGTGAGTGTGAACAACCTTGCTTGGTTCGCACCTCGTTACTCATCAGTGCTTACAGATCAAAATTTCCGTGTCCAAGAGCATGAGCTTGGAGAGTTCAAAGGACAAAAGAGTCTCATTAAACTGAGCGACGGTAGCGGATACTACATGACAGTTGCTGTTCAGCATGCACTTCACTGCGTTCAGAGGCTTCATCGATACATGTACAAGGATCATTACCACGCAGGGTTATCTGATGAAGACGCACTCGCCTTGAAACAGCATACAGGTAAATATGAATCGTCTAGTGAATCAAGATCAAAGCTAATTATCAGAACACTGTCTGGATTGGCTTCGGCAATACGTGCAATGTAATGCCGATACAACACTCATTCCCATTCGCTGGGCGGCAAGGTACGTACAATTCACTATGAGATATTTTACTATCCCTCTTCGCATCGTCATGATTGACATTATATGCAATAGTGTTCCTGGACCCGTATCCAAAGACTGGGGAAAACACCAGTGTGTGGCCTGGGGGCCCATTGTGGATTTCATGGCCAGTCGCGCATTTGACCCTTTGCAACCTGGGCTACTTGTTCATCCAACTTTTGGTACGTTAGCCATCTCCATAGCAGTAGCTGTAGCACATAGAATTTTCTAACTCCTTCTTTTAATCTCCAGGGAACCCCTATGCAAAAGATGAGGGAGCTCATACTGGCGCAGTTGACTTGCATGGTGGTGGTTTGTATGGAGGTGATCAAGGACCGGATGTGTAGTAAATACTCGATATCTTGTTATCTGACATTAGAATTGTATAGATTCGAGGTGATTTTGGAGTTTACGGATTTTGTCCCAAACAATACTGCCGTGATGAAAATATGTAGTTCTAAAATCACCCCGAATTTATACAATTATGTAATGATATTTCATCCGACGTGTTTCCACTCTGGTTTCTAACAACCTTTTTTTTTTTTTTTGGTCGAATCTTTCATGACGTGTTCACCTCATTTTCTCCACACCACCTACTTCTTAGCAGTCTGGGTAAGACACACATGGCTGGATGCCAGCATGTCAATAATTACTGATGCATGCTACCCCCTTCGCCCGAGCTGCAACGAGATATACCCCTCATCCAATCGGCAACAGATAGATATAGAAGGTGAATGTAGATCCGAAATAAAAGAAATCAATAGTTTGCCGGCCAGCGTCTGCCCTCTCTAGAGCGAGAGACGTGTATCAGGGAGGGGTGGGAAAGTCTCAACGATACATCAACTATCAGCCTTGGCTACAAGGATCGTCCTACATAACCGCTGTAACATATGTATGCATAGTAGATGCTTACATGCAGCTTGTTGGGGTGTACGAACGATCGTGGGTGTGTTAAACGGGAGTGTATGTGCCCTTGACGTGGGAAGTGATGGGAAGTGATAGGATATGCAGACTGCAGTGCAACACGGACTGAAACCAGACGATGAAGATGGCTGCAACGTAGGTCACTCTGAGGCTCAAGTTACTCTTACGTCACCATGAAAAATATGGCTAAAGCCGGTGTAAGTGGAGGGGACGCAGGTCAACAAGCGCCATGGTCATAGCCAGTATGCTTTGAGACGTAAAGGTATAAATGATCCGGCTCTCCAGGTGATCCTGTCTTCCTCGGGACTTCAATCACAGGTGAAACGCTTTTTGGCTTTCTTGATTCCAACAATACAAATTATACAACGACGCTAATCCGTCAACATGAAGACTTTCGGTATTGCTCTCACCATCGCCGCCTTGGCCATTAGAGCCATTGCGGTACCTAACAATGGTGAGCATATTGTTCCAGACTAACAGACAAGTATTGTAAATACAGATGAGCTGACATTTACATCAGTCCGTGCTGCTGGCGATGAGGCCTGGAAGGAGGCTAACCTTGGACGCCGAGGTGCTGGTGATGAGGCTTGGAAGGAGGCCAACTTGGGTCGTCGTCGTGCCGGTGACGAGGCTTGGAAGGAGGCCAACCTCGGCAGGCGTGCTGCCGGAGATGAAGCTTGGAAAGAGGCTAACCTTGGACGACGTGGCACTGGCGATGAGGCCTGGAAGGAAGCCAACCTTGGCTAATTTTGGTAACCTAAATTGAGTCCATACATGTGTGGTAGCTGTCAATCTATCTGATACACCGTACCGTTGGTGTAGCTCGTTGTTACGCAGATACCACCGCACATGTGCCAAAATGCATTGGCTGTGAACTACACGCCCTCTATTGGACTCGTGCTCCGTGGCGGAAACCATCTGCTGCCGACCAGTCAGGGGCGCCATGGTTATATGCGCCGTTTCTTCCTCAGTATTAAGGAGTACTTGTCAAGTTACTGCCAATAGACTCGGCTTAGCGTTATCAGTGCGTCTAGAAGATGTTCCACTGCATGTGCACTGCTAAGCACGAGGGCGGTTTGGTGCGTGCAGGTGGAGGAATGAAGATTGATATCAACATGAGCCTGGACTGTCAGCATAGCACGTAATTCTTTCTTGGATAGGTGGCCGCAGACCAGCAACCAACAGCTCGAGACAGCTCCTGGAAGGAGTCGTGTCACAGAAGCACCCACTACTAAGCACTAATGTATTGCCCTTCTGCTACTTACGGTAATAGATTATAGATGTCATATTTGAACTCTTACGATTTATAGTGCACATAGTCCCGGATTTCATTTAAAAGGAGCTATGAACTGGTTGTAATAAAGCCTTATATACATTTTAAAAACTAGATTATAAGCCATGTCTTTGAATATACAAGGTACCATGAGCGATAAGTCCCGTCTGTCTATGCATATCTATGGCTTGAAGTATCCTGGTTGCAGCTTGCAAAAGATACCAGTGGGATCATACTTGGCCTTAATTTGCCTCAGGCGGTCATGGTTCTTAGCAGCGTATCCGTCAAACACTTTTGAGTCCTTTGCAGCGTAGTTCTGGTAGATGTAGTCAGGGAAGAGGTTCTTGTCCTTTGCAACCTTGACGCTATTGGCGATGAAGTCAGCGGCGAACTTGAGGATGCACTTTTCATCTGCCAGATTCTTCCAGGCGATGGAGATGTTGATACTGGTAATGAAAACAGTCTTCAGCGGATGCATGACAGCTCCAGGGCGCGGCAGAATAGCAAGACGCCGTCAGAAGGCATCTTGCTGGACGACGTGGCTCCAGTGGGTATTATGAGAGAGGCACAAATAGTGAGGACGATGAGAGCGACGGCTTTGGACATTATGAAGGGGAAAACAAGAATTCTTCTGAAGCGTAATGGTGACATCTAACTTCTCCAGGCACGCTGGGTGATCAGTCCTTTCAAGTGAAGAGCATTGACCTTGGGATAATGTTCAGGATTCGCCAGCCTCTATACCATTCCTCGCCATTTTTGACATCTGAGTTGCCATGTCTTGCCAATACTTGCAATTGCAAACGGGTGGTTCTTGTAAGCATCCAACCTTCGGATGTGTTTTTCTTGAAACAGCCTCTGTTGGCCATCAACTGCGCGAACAGGAACCGTCATGAACGATAACCATATCTTCGAGTCGAAATATCGAATTCATGGCATGAGTAGATGCTACTTTGGTAATGGATACTCTGCGGGCGTGAGAGACAAAGGCGAACTACCGATACCGCACCCCCCAGGTGCCGCGGGGAGACGTGCCGGTGCGGAACAGATTCGAGATGGCGGCGCAAGATTGACGCTCGACATGACGCCTGCATAGTCCGTTCCCGTGGCTTGCTGTTGTAGCTCTCGGCAATTTCCCGATACGTTGGTCGATCTGAAGCGCGGGCGTGTCTCGGCATAGCACGATACAGTCTGGTCTGGTAGATCTAGATGGAGGCGTGTGCATGAACCGCCCCCGGCTACATGCATTGACGCTCCATGTCAGCACTTGAGCCATCCAACTGCAACGTTGACGGCTTGGCCCTCTCCCCAGCTGCGGGCTAGCGAATTCATACCAGACTTGAGTCGTCAGCTATCAAATACGTTGACCTCAAGCGCCAAAAGTGGGTAGGATTTGCGGGGGCCATCTCACCTCCGAGTTCAGCTTATGATTGCGCAATGTCATGGCACCTCGCGTCACTTGTGATACCTTCTCGGTCCTCGTTCCCAAATCGAGTCATAAACTACTTCTCCAGCCAACATGCAAGACTGCTGACTGCATTGCGTGTATCGTCACGTCGCAGGTGATAATCCACTGCCTCATTCGGCAAGTCCTTCAAGCTAGATGCCGAGTTGCCATACCATCACCACTGGTGCCTTGGAAGATGATATTCCAAGGAAATGGAAAATTTTACCTAACCACATGAGGGCATATTTCGGTTCTCACAGTGTGTATTCCGAGGATGAACTGTTGATCCAGAAAAAACACTCATTCCCAATAGGTGCAGGGTAGTTCAATTATCATCATACCTGCTATACGGGCATTGTTGGAAGATTTCGTCCTCAACAGTGCCGCCCTGAATCATCCTGAGACGTGACAACGGCCTGCGATCATCTTAAGCAGACATCTTCAGAATGCGTCAGGTCATCGTCGCGTTGGTGCTGGCTCTCACTCGAATTGCTGCGTCAATGGAGGTTGACAAGACGCCAATCGCTAGCTGCCAATCTAACGATTCATTTTTCCCTTTTCGAATTACCGGCCAGACATGAATATGACGGGACGTATCTTGTCAATCCAGAAGCCAGAGGCCATGAGCCACGTGGAAAGTGGAAAGGCCCCGAGTATTGTCTCTCTGGGTTTTGCACGTACGGGACACCGCTCCGTGACATTGCGCTGGTCACAAGAAACTCCAAAGCCGACAATATCATTGCACAACTCTCACAATTGTCTGAATTGCCTCCATCTTCACTCACAAACGAGCAGCAAGAAGACGACATGTTCTATGAGAGTGACATACCGGGGAAGGGTATTGGGCTCATTGCCGGGAGACCAATTCGAAGAGGTGAAATTGTCATGAAGAAGCGGCCGTCATTGCTCGTACAAGTAGAAATACAAGCCAGGACAGACGTACACGTACGAGACATTCTTTATGGTCACGCAATGGACAGGATGAGAGACCGAGACCGCGGCCGTGTCATGGGTATGATTGGCAGCGACCTGGGCGACAAGATTGACAAGAACTGTTTTCGGTTGCGGATAAGCACAGATGAGAATGCCGATGGTGGCGATCACCATATTGGTTGTTACCCTGACGTCGCCAGGTTGAACCACGATTGCAGACCGAGGTACGTGACTGGAGCACATCACTCCCTCATAGATATTCTAATCAGCCAACCCTTTTTGTCATAGCCTCGTATACGACATCAATAACTCTGTCCATGTTATCTCCGCGGTACGAGATATTGCCGCTGGTGAAGAGCTGAGCATCAGTTACATCCGTCTGCTCTCTCCTCGAGCTCAGCGTTTAGCACAGTTGAAGCATTGGGGGTTCGAATGTTCCTGTGGGCATTGTAACATGAGCGACAAAGATGCAGCCACGTCTGATGCTCACCTACGTGCCATAGTCGGTCTTGAGGGGGACCTTGGTAACTTCAAGGACATGTTGGTGATGCCCGAGACGGGTGCTAAGCTGGTAGAGCTGTATCAGCGAGAGAGACTAGATTTGTATTTGAGCAGGGCTTATGAACAGGCGGCCATAAACTACGCTGCTTTTGGCATGGACGACGAAGCAAAGAAGTATGCTAGATTGACCTTGGAACACTTGGAGATTGAGCCTGCAAGTAGCGCTGCAGATGCTGCTTCGATGAGGCTGCTGTCGGAGAATCCGAGGTTGCACGGAGCATGGGGAGTTCGTCTAAAGGGGATTAAATGACTTACACCACGCTAGGAAATACATTGGAAAGTTATGTCAAGTCCAAACTGGCCGGTTCATGGTTTTGCGCTCATAGGATTGTTCAGGGTGAGTTTGCGCACCAAAGCTACCATCACGATATGACATAAAGAGCAAAAACATGCCAGACTACCGCTCAAACGAAGCCCAGTTCGCTTTATACAATCAGCGATACCGGTAATTCCTGTCCCAGGTGTTGAAAACGGCGGTAGGCGGCTGTTGAGGGCGGCGCAAGGAGGAGTCCCCAGGTTCCCAGGAAATACCCATGTGTCGGTGCTGAAGTGTGCCAGCATGCTGCCATCGCAAGCCATTGATGGCTGAGCCTCCCAACCGATGCTACAGAGCAGGGGGTTAACGTAATTGGAGATCCGCTATTATAACTAGGGCAGAACTTAATCGTGGAAATTAGATTAATTTTAAGTTTTAATTAATTAATGAATATCATAAAAAGCTAACATTTAACACGTGTCTGCCGTTAAAAGTTAACATTGCATGTGGTTGTTACTTGTGTGTCCTGTTAGTTGTTTTCCTAACAAGTGAAAAACATCGAGGCACGTAAAACAAAATCGAAAAACAAAAAGACATTATGTTTGCGCTAAGCGATGCGCCATTCAAGGCGGTGCTTTCATAACTAGATACACTTCATTCGTCCCTCAATTCACGCGCCTTACTTTGTTGATGTAGTTGAGTGCAGACTCGCCAAAGTCGATGGGCTACAATTGTCATCCATAAACCCACGGATGCTGCACGAAGAAATCAGTATCAGGGGAAACCGCAATGACCAAAGGATGTATATGGAAGTCGTTTACCTTACTGGTGCTGTCTGAAGATCATTCGCCACAGCTGTCGACAAGGCGATGTACTTTATACTGTCGAGACCATGCTCTTTGAGGCGGGTATGGGACTCAACGCTACATCCCAGAATGTTAGAAGCATGACGGATAAATGATTCAATCATCATCTCCTCACGGTCGCTGCGACCCGCTGAACGAGGTTGCGACAATCTTGGGGCTGCCAAGGTTTTGCGCCGCCAAGTCATGGAAGCAACGTGATTTGTCTTTTCTTTGCGATGACTTGGGTCAGGGAATGCCAAGAGCAAGTGACTATTGATGCCGCCCCAACCGGCAGCAGAAACGGCTAGAATATCGCCATGCTCCAATACTGTGGGCTCTGTAGCGAATCTCAATGGCAAGTTGCGGTCGATCATGGGATTCGGTTCTGACAGCCCCTTCATGGGAGGCACAGTCCCAGCTTGGATGGACTTGCAGAGTTTGACGAGAGAGACCAAGCCGGATGCATGCTGGGTATTGCCAATGTTGCCTTTGGTCGAGCCGACGACAAATGGCGCCTGAGCGCCTCCGGCTTCCTGAACTGCCAAGCTCAAGCCCTCTAATTCGAGAGCGTCTCCTACAGGAGTTCCACTGCCATGTATTCTGACGCACAAGCTGTTAGCTTCCACTGCCAGTCATCATTCTTGGGGTCAATTTGCCTTACTCGGCGTATTTTAGTCTCGCTGGTGTGATTCCGGCAACAGCCCAAGCCGTCTTGATCACCTCTGCCTGGCCGCGAGGTGATGGAACTTGGTAGCCAGCCTTTTCGCAGGCACCATCTGCTCCAATGCCAGTTCCCAACAAGTTTGCGTAGGCACTCCAAGGCTGTGTATCATGGTTAGCTGCTTTCTTCAGAACTACGGCTACCACGGCGTCTCCTGGAACCGTGCCATCCGCCCGGCTGTCAAATGGGTTACACTCTCCTCGTGGAGAGAAGATCTGTCCATGCTTGGTCACATATCCGCCACTACTACCGTGTCAGCATTGAATCAACCGAACCAACCAGCCTGCAACGTGAGCACACTTACTCATAGAGCTGAACTGAGACACCACCGACAAGAGCCGTATCGCAACGACCCGAGCGAATGGCATCAAAGGCCAGCGACAGTGCCACTGTACTCGAAGCACAATTCGTTTGCACTGTTACATTCGGGCCGCGAAGATCCAGGTGATACGCGGTCCGTGCCGAAATTGACGGCGCAACAAAACCTCTGTTCTCTCGCAGGAAGGAATCGGCCACCACACCTTCTGTATACAGATGGTAGTTCTGGTTTGCGGATCCGATAAATACTCCCGTTCGGCCACTGTCTATGTTGCCAGGGATGATGCCGGCGTCCGCAAGAGCCTCGTAGGCCACTTCCAAGAACAAACGTTGTTGCGGATCCATGTCTGTCGCGTCTTCCTCGGACAGGTTCCAAAACTCATGATCAAAGTCCTCAATGTCTTGCAAGGCACCCGCTCTGTTGACCCAAATGTTGCCTTCCAATGTCTCCTTCTGGACATTGCTGGGACTGATTCCCGAGTAACCATTCATGAGCTTCTCAAAGAACTCATCAACGGAAGCTGCCCCGGGAAATCGGCCAGCCATGCCGACAATGGCAATGTCATTCTCAAGGAGCGGCATCTCCTCCGATGGCGGTGTGAATTTGCCTGAGCTCATGGGAGAGGGCGGCAGGCCTGGCTCACTCTTCCCCAGGGCTCCGTCTCCAACCAGTTGAGCTTGTTGCCGGATTGTTGACTGATGAAACAGGTCTAATAGTCGAATGTGCGTGGATGGGAATGTAGCTTTCAACTTTTCGTGAAGCTTGGGTACCAGCAGACTATGACCGCCAATGTCAAAGAAGTTGACTGTAGGGACGGGAGGTTTCTCGAGGTGCAAGATGTCTTTCCATACTTGGCCAACCATGTTCTCGGCATTCTCCATGCGCGGCTTACGCAGGTTTTCCAAATTCTTCCGTTGCATCGTGACACCTTTTGCCATGGTTGTTTCCGGCTTGCTATCCCTGGCCAGTTCCTTGCGCCTTGCTTTCACGGCTTTGTGATCCGTTTTGCCACTGACATTCTTTGGCAAGCTTTGCGCCACGACAAACCTGGACGGTACCTTGTAGTTTGGCAGCGATTCCTTCAACTTCGCTTGAAGCGCCGCAACGTCGACGTTGCGTGGCGCCACAAATGCCATGAGCTCCAGACCATCTTCGGACGATTGAACTGAAACCTCTAGCACACCCAAATCCGAATCAAGAACCGCTTGTTCGACCTCTTCCGGGGCGATGCGGAACCCGCGCACTTTCATTTCCCGATCAATTCGGCCAAGAACCAATACTTGGCCATTGCTGTCCTTGAGCCCGCGGTCACCAGTCCGATACATGCGAACGCCACTGGCATGCACAGCGAACTGTTTAGCCGTGACCTCGGGAAGGTCGCAGTATCCCCGGGAGACCTGCGGTCCGGCTATGCAGATCTCTCCCACCGAGTTTGGCCCCAGTATAGATTTAAAGTCCTCTGAACAAACGTAGATCTCATTGTTGCCAATAGGGAAGCCGGTATACAGGGTATCTGAAATATGGTCTGTTTTGTCAATCTTGCCGAGCACCACGGCAACGGCGGTTTCTGTAGGGCCGTATGTGTTGACCAGATTGACTCTTGAGTGCCACTGAACAAAAACTTCGCGGGAGGGTAACTCTCCTCCCACCGATATTTGCCTCAGCGACGGGAGTTCTCGATTGAGGGGAAGAGTTGATAATGCGGTTGGAGTAATCTCCAAGAACGACACGTTGTTGCGCTCGATAACATCGGCGAGATACTCTCCAACAAGATGTGCCGGGTGCTCTGCGAAACATAAAGTTGCTCCAGTGCAAAGAGCAGTGGTCCATTCCAAAATCGACGCATCGAACAAAAAAGATGCCAGCTGGAGAACTCGTGCCCCGTAGCCGCATTCATATGTAGTAGTAGCTGCCTTGACGTAAGCAGCCACATTGCCATGCTCCAGCATGGCGCCTTTAGGTTTGCCGGTTGAGCCAGAAGTATATATGATATACGCCAGGTCATCATCCGAGGTGTCATCCTTGGGAAGTTTCAGAGTCGCGTCCATCTCACCAGTCTCCATTCCCGACTCGTTCTCTACCCGTATGTGATTTGCATTTTCCGCGATGAGGTGGTCAGCCGTTTCGTCGTCGACGATGAGAGTGGGCTTGCAGCTCGCAACAACGGCCGATTTCTGCGCTTCAAGGTTGGGATCGACGTATACAAAAGCGGCTCCGGCCTTCAAAACGGCGAGTATCCACTCAATAACGGCAAACCCGCGTTGCAAGCTCAGGATGACTTTGCATTCCTTCCCGACTCCCTCGCGAATCAAACCTGCGATGGGTTAGAATCGATGTCTCATAGTAGTTGAACAATGACTTACTCATCGCTTTCTCCTCGGCCGATTGCTGCAATTCACCGTATGTCATCTGAAGTCCTAGTTCGTCTGAGGACAAGGCGATCGAGTCTGGTCTCGATTTCGCATGGGCCTCAAACCATTGATGTATGTGCTTCAGCGGTCGGCCTTTGTCCGCCATTGAAGGCTGCAAGGGCAGGCGCGGGTAACTGGGTAGCCACGGGATCATTTCCTTCAGGGCCGTGTTTTGTGACTTGCTTAACTGGATCAAGTTGACCATCTTTGCTTTCATCTCTGCCATGGCCCTGACAGAGAAGACCAGTGGGTTGTAAATCACCTAACAAGTGTTAGTTTGTCTTCGGGAACGCTTTAAAACTCTGAGGAGGTGATTTACCCCAAGTTTAACATGATCCTCGTACTCTAGGAAACAGAAGAACAAGTCCCATGGCCCCTCCACCGGGAAGAGGAGACAGCTCGGTTCAGCAAGTTTAGGCGAGTACGTGACGGTGACTTTTGGCGGTTCATAATCCATGTTCAGATTCCTACAGGTCCGCGCTAACTCGGTAGCAGGGAATAGCTCGGCCTTCTTCACTGCACTGATGTTCTTTCCCACAACGGAAACTAAACTTTTGAAAGCAGTCTGGGAGGCGTCAGCCCCAAGGCACTCCCAAAGTGGAATCTTTACCGGAAGTGCATTGGCGAATTGGCCAATGCAAGAGTCCATTTCCTTTGGCCGACTACCAAAGGCAACAGAAACCACTTCGTCGTGTCCAAACGGCGGGTGCGTTATGTCTGCCACAAGCAGGCCAATCAACGACACGGCAACTCTGAACCACGAAGTGCTGTAGCAGTTGCTCCATTGTGCAAGTTCCTAAAATCGTTTTAGACCTGTGAGTCCTCTCTCTTGAAGGACATCACTTACAGATTTGGAAATGGTAAGCCACGAGTCGATTTTGCGGTAGTCCTGGCGTTCGGAACTCTGTGGCAGCGACAGCTCTTTCGGCCAAGAAAAATTGTGCTTGTTGGAAACTTGGGACAGGAGAGTTTGGCGGCTTTTCTCACAAGCTTCGGATCCGAACCAAGCTTTCTGAATTACCAATTAGTTTAGTTCCTTTTCTTTAAAGGAGGCGCGGGCAAAGGACAGGTGTGGATACCTCCATCATGTGCATTGAGCTGAATTTGGCTCCGGTATCGAAATCAGCTTTCTCGTTTTGCAGTAACGCGTAGAATTGTTTCGAGAGAAGCGACATAGACTGGCCATCAAGGATGATGTGGTGAGCGACCAAGTAGACTCGAAAATTCACGGAGTCTTGTAATATGACCCATAGAGCAGAAAACTCATTCCTTAGGTCAAATGAGTGTCGAAGTATGCTTCGAAGTGATGTTTCGGAAACTGCAGACCCTTTTCGGTACACAACAAGTACTTGAGGGTGTGCATCGTTCTCGCCATGCACGTAAACATGTGCCTTTCCTTCTATTGTGTCGATCGTGGAGCGCAGGCAAGTATGGGCTCTCGTCAACACATCAATGACTGTGACTGCTTAGCAATTCTACTCAACAAAATAAAGGACTCCTCCTGCACTACGTACCTCCAAGTACATTAGTTATGTCAGCTTCGCCAGGAGGCGAATCTTTCAAATTCCACTCCAGCGTAAGATTGTACTTTGTGCTTGATGAATCTGCCAAGTAGGCGATCCACATGCCCTCCTGGCTTTTTGTCAACGGGAAGACGCTCTCAAGACAGTTGATGCCCCTCGAACGACCAAATTTTCCGGCGACACCAGAGAGTAAACACATATCGTTGCTGAACAGGGCCATTGTGAGGTATATAGTGGAGTGTAGTCTTTAGCAATTGTTTCTTTTAGTTGCCAATATTCGAATGGTGCTATAGCAGGTATTTATACAACTTTCCTTGTTCCACATAATGGTTTCTGGTTTTGTGATGCTGCCCATGCGAACCTGATATATGCGCTTCCCCACCATAGCAGCTAAGCCAAAAAAAAAGAGCCTTTTAACCTTCCTTCCATTTTAAGCTGCTTTGCAGTAAACTTGCCTGTTGCATTACGAGTTCTTGTGACTGGTTGTAGATCTCTTTCTTTTTCCAGGCCACCCACAGAGGGCACTTGAATGGCCGCTCGTATAGTGCAACCCTTGTAAGTCTAGCCAAGAGTGACCTGACAAGGAAGTTGATAAGGGTTATATACAGGGACCTTTGTACTAACAATAACTCTCTTTATTTATGAGAGAGTATGTTAGTTGAAACATAGGACTAATAACTCTTATTATAGTAACTTTCTTGAAGAGATTTCATGACAGAAAATTAAGTACTTTTTACCCCTACAAACTCTCCGCAATAATTACCTCTTTTCGGCTTTCCCCCCACCTGCTATGCCACGCCTCGCCAAACATTCAGGGAATATGTCGTACACAAATTGGGTATCTCCGGTCAGAAGTGCTTCGCCTCATGCAGCAAATTTTGGCCGTCTTTCACGAACCTTCAAATCAGGCCACTCCTTCCGGACTTCCGTTGAGTCGGTCCTCTCTCATGGCCCAAGTTATGGCTATGAGCGCTGCGTACGGCACAGCAATTCCGACATTGGCATTGCCAGTGTTGGAACAGGCCAAAGCGCCAGAAAGTTCCGTTTCTCCTGACCAGCGAACTTTTAGTAAGTCCTTAGTACAAGGTACAGAGGATAAGTTTTGACTAACGGTATCAAGGCGGCTTACAAAGTCGACTTCGTCGGGACTCAAGAGATAAGAGCAAGGACGATGGCAGCAGCGCTTCAGGAACGTTTGGACTTGGACAAAACCTATCCACAATTACCGAGAATCTACGCCTCAGGATGGCATCTACACCATTACCGAGGTTACAACATTGTCGCGCACGACTGGAGCTCGTAAATCCCGGGCGGCTATTAATCCTCGTTAGTCCGAGCCTTTCCTTATTCGAGTTTAGCTCTTGCATATGTCGTATTTGCTACGGGTAGCGGAAGTCGGGTACGACGGGTAGTCGGCTCGGTCCTAAAAAGCCAAAATCCAGAACCAGAAACGGCAACTTTTCCGCCTGACCCTTGCAATAATTGCCTGATTTATAGAGTCGGTGTGTAAAGTACAATTTTCTCCTGCAAACCCCACCCATTAAGGTTCATAAGCAGGCTGCAATGAGACGCGTAGACCAAAAGCAACTTATTTATTGGTAACAGAATGCTAGGGAGAGACCGTGGCGAGACGGTGGTATGTGGTTGAAATGCGATATTTCACAATCCACAACTAGGGGAGCCGACTAGTTTTCATTCCGCCCGCCGTTCTTGAACAACTCAGAACACTTCTCTGTGTGCCGAGTGATCGTACAGTCAGTCGACTACGACAATTATGGCAGACAATGGTCTTAACAAGGCCGCTACATTTGCGACACTGTTTATAGTGTATAGTTTCGCCCCCGTCTCGATGCTTACATTATACAAGTAGCTTACTGGGGCCTCTAGGTGCGGCGCATTTTTCATCGATATTGCTAATCTGGGTATGGCCAACATTGCATTGCCTACGATCCAGAAAGCGCTTGGTTTCGACGACGGAACGCTTCAATGGGTCCTAACTGCATACGCCCTAACAGTAAGACCGCCTCCGGTGCCTACGACATGCTTTGGTTCTTCCTAGCTTACCTTGAACTAGTTCGGCGGGTTTCTTATGGCGTGCGGGAGACTCGGTGACATTTTCGGCCACGGTAATATATTGCTGCTAGGCATGACGCTCTTCAATTCAGCGACATTGCTTTGCGCGCTCATCGATAACCGAGTGGGATTGGTCATTGGGAGGGCAGTCCAAGGTACGTCGGGTTATTAAGCAGCTTTTTGCATCAATCTTGTACAATGACTCACGGTGCCGTTATCCCGTTTTAGGACTCGGTGCTGCCTTCACAATACCACCCGCTCAGTCTCTGGTGTCGTTGATGTTCGAAGACCCTTCGTCTCGTGTAAAGGCATTCGCTGTATGGGGAGCTTCCGGTTCTACAGGCTTCGTGTTAGTCTTCCATACCTACCCAGCTCGAGACGGCACATCACTGACTTGCGTAGTGTCGGGCCAATTATTGGCGGACTTCTCACCTCGCTAGTATCCTGGAACTGGGTATGACACCAAATTTGACCCATGGCCATATTCGAATGTTACTTGGCCCACTGATATGAATCTTACAGATATTCTGGATCAGTTTAATATGCGAAGGCGCCTTGGAAATTGCAGCATTAGCACTTCTATTCAGTCACGCGCTTCCTGGAGCGCCCCCTCCCAAAGACGCCAAAAAAAGCAAATGGATCGGCCTACACAGTCAAGTTGACGCTCTCGGGGCCGCCTTATCCGTCCCTTCCATGGCTCTACTGGTCTACGGATTGACAACGGGCAATATCCACGGATGGAACCAGCCGGACGTGATTGCCTGTCTTGCCACGGCGGTTGCGCTTGTTGCGTCTTTCATCGCCGTGGAGGTTTGGGTTGCTTCCAACCCAATTCTTCCAAAGTACATATGGGGGGATCGCACTCGTGCCGTGGGATGTCTCTTGGCAGCTCTTACGTATGCGGTATGGCAAGGGTGCAATTACTTGTTGACCCTCCAATTACAAGGTGAGTTTACTCAAACGTATTCTACAATCTCAAGAACCGAACAAGAGAGGACCGAAAACAACTAAGCAGAATAATATTATCGCAGGCTTTGGATTCTCTGCTGTTGATACAGCGGTCCGATTCCTGCCTCTTGGCATCACAGCCATGGCAGTCAACTTTGTCATTCCCACCATCTCGAAACACATCCGACCACGAGTTTTGTTGGTCATAAGCTGGCTTGCAGCTATGGTTGGGCTCGTGTTATTTACACGCATGGAATCCGAGGATGATTACTGGCGGTATTGTCTACCAGGCATGATATTGTACATTACTGGAATCTGCACCGTGTACTTTGTCGGCAATGTCACTGTCGTAGCAAGTGCTCCGTCAGAAACACAAGGCACTGTATCTGGTGTGTATAATGTAAGCAGAACCTTGTCCGAAATCCTTTTCTAAAGAAGTGCAATATGAGAAACTAACCATGGCAAGATGTTTTTAAACGTGGGGGGTGCAGTGGTGGGTGTTGCGTTACTCACAGTGATTAGCAACACAGTCACGGCGAATGAAGGTGGGAAAACGCATCCGGGTGCGCTGCTCTCAGGGTATCGCGCGGGGTACTACGCTTCGATTGTAATGACGGGTATTGGGGTTCTTGCTTCGCTGCTTCTAAAGGACAAGCAATGAAGGACGCTCTGTTGCATTTGGAGATGGCCGAGTTGGGCCTTGGGCATAAGTCGATGAGGGGTTTCTGTTGTAGTGGAAAAGAAGGCTTATACTTTATAATAACCTTTTAAATAACAATTTCGCGACTATTTGCAGGGGCTATTTAGTCGACAATAATAAGGCGGTAACTAAAATTTTAAGCGTAGAGATAAATCGCGAAACGCAAGGAATTATTCTAATAGCTTTATATTATAAATAAGTAGGCTGGTAATTAGAGCTTTAAAAGCATTCTATTTTTGTATTTTAACTGTAAAGTATTATATACGCATCACGATGCGTTCATGGTGTCTTGCGCGGTTAATTACGGTTCCCTGGCCTAGGTACGGCCAAAATACAGTGTTACTAGATGCCCTCTATCTAGCCCGTTTTTATGATATTCTTTTTAAATAAGTTAATAGAGTATTATATTATAATATATTATGGGACATTATAACAAATAATGTTCTTTATTTCCTGGTCTGCCGATTGGAGCTAAATGTTAATGAGAAGGATCGCATTATTGGGGTTCAGTGCGTGTCCGCTAATTATGAAGTGCTTGGACCCTTGTAGGGCTTTATGGTCAGATAGCTCGAGGTTCAAGTCCCTATGGGTCAGATGTATGTATGAAGGCCAACCTCGCGTGTACAAGGGAACATGCAAAGCGGATGTAGAGATGACTGAGGGTTTTTGCTCAGGGTCACCCAGTTCCCTGGCATTCCAAGCAAAAAGCCACTACCATCCAGATGGTACAGGTGATATACATAGTATACATAATAATATTAAAATGCAATATAACACGGACAGAATGTGCGTAGATACAAATTATCAAGTTACAAGTCTTGATATTACTAGTACTGGCATTTGTCCGAATGGTTCGAGGCAGATTAAAAGCTATTGGCAACAGCCTGGCTGCTCGGGTAAATGGTGCGGGCATGGCTACACAAGCAGAGATACTTGCAGGTCATTATGGTCCGAGGGTTGGAAATTCAAGTCTTTGTGGCTGAGATGCGCCGAACAAGGCAAAGACTGCGTTAGCTAGAGGACTTGCGTTCCTGATGAGGAGCCTACCAGCAACGTATGCTAGTTTATTAACAACATTTACATTGGCAATCTGCTGTCACTGCTATACTGCCTTGTGCGGACACTGACAATGCCGGATCAGCAAGTAGGGCAAGATCTAGTGACGGGCCGACCCGTACCTAAAATTCTCTGTACGAAGGGGCTGCATTCAGAAACGCGAGGACTCCGCGTAACAGATCACGAACATGCTACCCGAAACTAACGATGTCATTGCTCTTAGTGCTGGTAAAAAAGATACCGGTAGCCAGGTGGATATACAGTCTTTCTCCTTATATATCTAACTTTGTCATGCAATACTATTTATGCTCTTCATTGCTGCTCATTACAATCCTCAAAGTTCAAACATCATAGTTCAGCAGCAACAATGCGTCTTTTGCCTCGCGAAGCAACCGTTCTAGGAATTTTGCAGCGCGCAGATAGCCTCATCAACAGACATAACTGTGAGACCCATCTTTGGTAGAAGCATATGCAGCATCACATCCGAGAAGGCAGTGGTCTGCTCAATTGGCAACTCCGCAACATTGTCCCTGATGACAACAACGTTGTAGTCCGAATCAAAAAGCCGGTAAATAGTGGCCATTACCGCTCCAGAGAGCGTCAGACCAGACTTTCCTGTCAGCCCAAAGCATTTACTCAAGAGGAAGGAAACTCACAATAACAACTGTGTCGATATTTTGGCTCCTCAAAACCTGCTCCAGTGTACTTCCCATTGTAGCAGACCACCTGGTCTTTTGTAGGATGAGATCATGCTCGTCGACTTTGAAGTGTTGAGCAATTGCTACCTCAGCGGAGCCGTGTGCAAATTCGCAATAAGGGGCAATTAGGCGCGCAAAGGGTGATCCTGGCTTGACCTCGGGTTGGCCGGGATTGAAAGAGAGCGTGGTGAAAATAGTCAAGGGCCGAGGCGATTTCTGATGCACTGCGTCATTCCATTTTGCACAACTTTCCATCAGCGCCTGACATTTGCGGTCGTCCTTGATAGCATCAAAGAGCACAGACATCCAGTCCAAGTTGAGAACCGCGAAATTCCCGCCGAATTTCAGCGGCTCGTTCGCACAAGAGGCCATAGGAGGAAAGTAATGAGGGCAGCAGCTCGCAACTAGAAACATAAAGTAGAAATAATGAAGTCAAACAGAAAGTCCGTCACAAATTCCAGACATTTATGATGGAATAAAATCTTACTCGGGGTTGTCGTACCGATAATATAAGACGGAATCCATGTCCGGACATCAGTCTTGGTCACCGGAGCAGTCCGGAGGTCAGCCGGAGTTGTGAGGAACTGAGGCGGAGTTCCGGACTTGATGGGGCTTTGAGGTCAAGTACAACACCAGTCTAGTCGCCGGAGTTCAGATGGTAATGAGAACGTCATTAAAATTTCCACCCTCCCTTCAGATCCGTAATAAATAACGTCTAGTTCCGAATGTCTGGATTACCAAGAAGTCCCAGACCTCGTTCAATCTGAACATCACGCATTATGCAATCTCACATTAACAGAGACCCCGTTGAGCCAGCCGCAACGATGAGCTCTGACGCATCAACTCCAGTGCAAGCGGAGCCTACTCTTGCGTCACTAGAACCGCCTTACAGCATTTTCGACAAGGGACAGAAATGGATTATTGTTATTCTTGCTTCCACTGCAGCAACCTGTAAGGTTATACCGGACTGACACCTCAAAACTATTCGTCCCGCTAACACATCAGACAGTCTCGGGGTTCGCGTCAAACATTTATTTTCCCGCCTTGCCGACTATTGCGCAAGATTTAGGTGTTTCCATTGACCTGGTCAACCTCACGGTTACGTCCTACCTCCTTTTCCAGGGTCTGGCACCTAGTCTCTGGGGACCAATATCAGATGTCAAGGGACGACGATCTGCGTACATATGTACTTTCCTCGTGTTCCTGGGCGCTTGCATTGGTCTTGCCGAGACCAAGAATTATGCTACACTCATTGTCTTGCGGTGTCTGCAAAGCACTGGTAGCGCTAGCACAATTGCAATTGGGGCTGGAGTCATTGGCGATATCACCACACGAGCTGAACGCGGGGGATACATGGGCATTTTCCAAGCAGGACTGCTTGTTCCTGTTGCCGTGGGACCGGTAATTGGAGGTGCAATTGCCGGCTCACTGGGGTGGAAAGCAATCTTTTGGTTCTTGGCTATTTACAGTGGCATTTTCCTCTGCTCGCTTACTCTGTTGTTGCCTGAGACGCTTCGAGCGCTGGTCGTGAATGGGAGCCGCGTACCGTCGAATCCAATTTTGAGTTATCCCTTGCAGGTATACCGAAAAAAGACCAAAGTGCAGTGGCAGGCAACGCAAATCGACAAACCTGATTCTCGGACCAAGAAAAGCATAGATCTTCTTGGTCCGTTTCGAATACTCCTGAGCAAGCACGCTGGTCCCATCATTGTCTTCCTCGCCGTTTATTACGCCGTGTGGCAAATGAGCATCACAGCCATGTCGTCGCTATTCAAGAGCCGGTACCGCCTGACCGAGATCCAAATTGGCCTCACGTTTATTGCCAACGGAGTAGGGTCAATAATTGGAACTCTTGTGACGGGGAAAATCCTCGACGCCGACTACCGTCGCGTCAAGATCAAGTACGAGGCCTCATTCGATGGCGAGCAGGGGGTTGACCCATCTCATGGTATCAGAGAGCAAGCCTTCCCCTTAGAAAAGGCTCGACTCCGCCTTGTGCCCATATTCTCCGCCGTCCAGTGTGCCTCTATTCTTCTCTTTGGGTGGACCATTCAGTATCCTGACAAGGTGCACATTGCAGTGCCGATTGTATCTACGTTTTTGACGGGATGGACAGCAGTGTCTACACAATCTCTGATTATGACCTATCTTGTAGACGTCTTTCCTGACAGAAGTGCTGCAGCAAGCGCCAGCTTGAACCTTGCAAGATGCTTGTTCGCGGCGGCTGGCACGAGTTTTATTATGCCCATGATCAATGGCGTTGGGGTGGGAGTAGCCTTTACCATATGCGTCGCTGTGCAACTAGTGGCATTAATCGGGCCGCTAATTCAGTGGAAGTTTGCCGCTAAATGGAGGAAAGACGAGAAAGAAGGCAAAAGGAGTGAGGAGCTTGGGCGTTAGGGGAACCGGATTTATGCAACTGTCCCAGGTCCCATCGCGGACTGTACCACAGGTCCACAACCGAGTTTATTCAAGCTTTGACTCCTATTGTGGATGGTTATGTTTCAAATTACCTCAATTGCATAGCATGATTATTTAGAAGATAATAGAGAGGGAGTTGGTCAATGAGGTTATTTCGCACAACCTGGCTCAATTGTTGTCACAGTTGCTAATGAACCTGACTACGAATTGCGTCTTACAAGTCAAGGTAGTTGATCGCAAGCCGCCCAGAGTCTCCCAAGTTCATTTAAACAAGCCCTCCCAAACTAAATGGAAATATACCTTTTGGAAAGGTTGACTGCAATATTTACGTTTAACTATTCGCCGTGGGTGCATCTCGTAACTGCGTACAGCATGGTTCCATATTCGTCAAGATTCTCAAGCCAGTGGTCAACTCTTATCCGCCTTCTTTCGACAGCCCTGGTGTCTAAATCAGCAGGCATTGGCCAGAGCTCGTCTATAGTCAGGCTCTCCCCCATCCATTCCGTCATGTGCATATTATATTCCTTCTCCCAGTCGTATCGAGACTTGGCCTGCCATAGAAGTTTGTTGCTCGGAGCGGGCAATCCAGACAATTCGTTGCCCAGAAAGGTAGGTAGGCCCTCTTGGATACAAAGAGTGCTGTCAAACAGATACATCACATATAGTGTCCGCAGCTTGGCTTCGCACACGATCCATTCCTCCCACCTTGGACGGGCCCTGCGCTGCTCTGCAGCACACACGAGACCTTGGCCAGCGGAAGAACACGCTAGTTGCTGCAAGTTCGTCATGATTTCGCGAAAATTTGCATCGCGGGAGTGGTTTAACACGAAGAAGAGAACCAATGAATAAATCAGATAAGCTTGAAACGCAGCGAATAAAGTCTGCGCATCGTAGTCCTTCCGTCGTTCGTACAGCCTATCCATCTCTCGGTGTATCAGGGTAGCCGCAGCGTTATGACTGCCGGGAAGGGAGTTCGAACATATTCGTACTAAGCTTAAGCAGGTGGTAAGTGGCGACCCCGATGGCTGTGATATCAATTGCGCGGAATGAATAAACGGTAGGCAACCACGGCCTTTAATAGCGACCGACGCATACGACTTCAGAGTTCGGTAAATAAACCCACTGACTCCACTAGGATATTGTTTTATTGTTTGTCCTAGGACAGGCAGGTATGCCTGAATCCAACGATGTTGAATATCATCAGGATTAATAGGGCAAACGAGTTCAAGATTTGAAAAGTTGATTTCATTAAGCCCATCGCGCAAACTGGGCGGGACCACGAGCCGTGCATCTTCGGACGCTGAAGTTCTTGATACTGGTGTTCTCGGGGCATCTAACTGGCTGAATTTGGTTGATTTGTTGGGCGTCGTAACCAGTAGCGTATTCTCAGGGCTGGCGAAGGAAAAAGACAAGTCCGACACAGACAATGGGCTGGGTTGTTGCGACCCATCCTCAGTCAAGTTGGCTGTAGCAGACAAGTTGGAGTTGTCGGTGTTGGGGATTGCGCATTGTAACCCTCGTTGCGCGCATCTCGTGCAACCTTCACCCCCAGACCTACGGTCGCATCTGGCCTTTGCACTCGCACACTGACGACACGCTTTTTGTCGCGAAGTGGAATATCGCGGAGTTGGCATCGCTCACGAAATGGAGCTACGTGGTGAAGAACCGGAGTTGGCCTGCGTGCAGCGTGAGTATGTTTCGAGCAACGTGGCCGAGAGCGGAGTGCCTTTCGGAACTCCGGAAGACGTTGGTGGTGACTCGGCGCTCAAATTAAAGCCCGGAAATGAGATCCGAACATGGCTGAACGCTAACTCAATCCGGCCGTTTGTGTGCAGAAAACAGCCCCCGTAGTGCCGAAATAGGCCTGTTACCTTCAGAGCGTGTTCTTTCTATCCTTAATAAGAGCGCGTACCAGTTAAAGTAACCCTTAAACAAATAATACTCTCAAGTAAAGTACTCTCCTTACCGAGTAATCCCTTCAACTTATCAAGTGACAGGCTTAAGAGATTCAAGCGTTTTTCTTTACCTAGGAATTAAAGGCCTTTTAAGCTTTCTTTCTTGCAAGTATAACGCCCTATTCGAATATAGCCTCCAACGAAGAAATGTCCTTGCCAGGCCGGCAGGTGCAGCGATTGTCAACCACTATAGTCACCCCTCCAAGAGTACATCTACCACTATGAGCTGTAACGCGGAAAGCAAGCCGTCCAAGGCGGCAATCAACGGCGCACAGGTCTAGAGACAACTCTCAAGACCATGTAGTGCTTGGAATAATTCAAATTCTCAAGTCTTTCGACATGATTGAGCGAGTCATGGAAGTGAGAAGGCTCATTGTTGAGGACTAAACACCCGAGCCATTGTAATATTTGATCCACTGAGCGGTTTGGCTTGTTCCGCATTTTCGACCTGGAAGATTTAGTCAGGCCGTTGCCATGCCAGGCGGGCAGTCTCTTATAACCCAAGGACCGGGCATTTGCCATATTGTCCGTGACGCCAAACATAAGACGATGTACAACCGTCCTGCTAACCTCCTTGAGTGCTTGCAGTCCGCGCTAGCATTTAAAGCAGTTTCAAGAATTTGGGTTTCTCAAGAGTGCCGCATAGTAGATAGCCGTCAATGCCGCTACCAGCTATTCCACGGATGCAGATCCAAATCCTAGTCTTAACTCGCCTACTCCGTACTCGGCTGTGGCTGCGAATCATGCCACGAATCATGCAGCAAACCATGCTTAATTATCCGGACAAATTAATAATGGGTCAGTATTTCATTCCACTAATTACATACTTGGCAAGCGAGATTAGGATCAAAGGGGACAAGCCAGGCGGGGAGGAACTAAGGGTGACCCATGTACCCTGCTCTAATAAATACACAACCTTCTGATAGTTCAAGTTCGGTAGTATCTCTAGAAGCTATACCCAGGAATATGCACTTTCAGCTGAGCAGCCCAATATTCATAGGCATAAAGAATATGCAGTCTGGGGCTGAAGGCGAGTGTAAACCGAGCCCACATTAGGCTCAGCTCGGTACAGTAGGATATTAGAACCATCCAGCAAGTCCTCCCAAGAGTCCTCAAAGTACTTCCTTAGTCTTACGAGCCGAAAAGTCTATTAAACACGGCATTGGAAACACCAGATTATGATCCATCCTTGTCTTTCGTCTACGGTGTGGCCGATTCTCACGGCTGCCGTACCCGCCGGCGCAATACACGGTACCACAGCGGTACAGGGAGCAGGGACGGGCCAGCATGAAACTAGCTGCATTGATCGCGCGTTCATACTCGAGTGCGAAACACGAATTGATGTAGAGTCTCTTTCTCAAGAGATCGAGCGTCGAGGTGGCATTATTCGCCATAATTTCGCGTCTGATATCCTCCTGGGTCTCTCTGTACAGCTACCAGGCGGAGATGGCAGTTATGCTGGTAACTTTAGCGCTAGAATGAAAATGAGTAGCGGAGTTAAAAATGTGTGACCAATGGCAACTGTCACGCTCCCAACAAAGGTAAAAACTTAGGTGGCGGAACTACAGATGGACCCAAAGAGGCGTAATCTCCAAGAGATTTGGGGCTCACGATACCAAGTCGACAAGCTCCATGCTACGGGGTATACTGGCAGCGGTATCTGGATTGGAGTGGTTGATACCGGTGTGAGTTTATCTCCTTGTCTTTATACGCCTTGGTACAACTACTTCTACGACTAGTAAACGCATGTTAACTACAGCGTGTCGGCCCTGGGTGGCTGCTTCGGCTCGGGCTGTCGGGTTGCCTTGGGGGGCGCTTATGATGGAGTCATCATCGAGTCTAACCCTATGGACTTCCATGGCCACGACAGCATTGTTGCTAGCATCCTGGTTGGCTACAGCAAAGAGCATGGCTTCGTTGGTGTTACACCGAATTGAACAATCGGCGCCTACAAGGTTTCTAATACCAGAGGAATCGCTGCTCATGGAGAAGACAATATAATGGCTTCTTGGATTCAGGCGAAAAAACATCAGATGCAGATTATTGTGTCTTCTTACGGCGTCCAAGGTAGCAACTGGGCACTAGTTGTCTCCCGCCTACTGGCCAAAGGTATCCCCGTGTTGCAGGTGTTGATAATGAGAGATGATGGGACCTGTTTAACGTAATGAACCCCTCTTCCGGTCCCGCGAGATGTAATAAGCGTCAACTCCTTCCCTCCAGGGAGATACAAGTTCGTCGCCCGAGCCTTGGCTGTTCGTGGAGACGCCGATAATGCGGAGCACTGGCAGGTACAAGAGACACCAGAGTTTACCTTTAGGTATGAATCGAACCTGATAGACCACCGGTAAGATTGCGAGGGCGAATATTGAAAGAGAAGTGTACGGGTATGGGCAAACTAGTAGTAAGGAGTGGCGATTCTGCTAGGGCGGGCAAGCTGTCGGATAAACCTGTCTCTGTTGATAAAACACGGAAGCGCTTTTGCCCCTGGAGTGTGAGTGGCGATGGTAGTCGTTAGTCGTCGTGCTACTGCCCTTAAGGTAGTAATGTTCTGGAAGTGAAAAACTATCTTCACTGTTCAGAGTTCAGGAGGGAAAATACTAGTAAGATTCATAATTTCAACATGAATTTTGGTCAATAATAAGTCTCATAACCAGACAACTGGGGAGACGAATTGCCGCGTAGATCTGAGTCACTTTTATCAACCCATCGTATCAGCTTGAAGTGAAGAACATTGAACTTTTACAGGGGAGAGTGGTTTAAATTTAACGATTTGGCCAAGTGGCTCCTACTACGTAAGCTAGCCGAACATACATGGTTGCCAAGTCAAAAGCGGCTGATGACTGAGTCGGTGGTTATTGGGCTCGCTTCTGCATTGATAGGCATCTGGTGGCCGTGGACTTCTCAATGCAGAAATGTTTCGAAGCCTGATGTTCAAAGACATTGCACAGAATCATCATTGTGTTGACTCAATTTTTTCCTTGGCTTAAAGTAAGTTCTGTCCATAATATCCAGGTCAACTGATATGGCAGTGCGATTAAATCACTATTCCAGCCAAGCTACAAAAGCTCTCTCTACCTCTCATACTGGCGCCCATTTCTCACTAGATACCTCCCGTTCTGACGCGGGAATGCATGACGGGTTAGCAGTGAGACCCTTTATGAAATGTGAAGGTCGCCGAATCGTTACTTCGTCTGGGTGAGTTTGGCAACTTATCCAATTCCAACCAATGCTTGCTGTAAAAATATCTGATTTTTCAGTTGGGTTGGTTGAATGGACAGTCTATGTAACATACTCGAGGCTTAGGGGCAGACTGTGAGACCTGAACTTGGTGGCATTAATGGCATTGGCATTAGCCGAGTGCATCTTGACGACCTACCCCCTACTACCTAGTACATTAGCAGGCTAGCCTGACTTGCGGCTGCCTTGTGTACTACCGATCATGGTATCCAGAGCATCTCGACGAGGACGTAGCAGTGGGATTGGACAAAAGCGTTCACCCAACCTGACTGGTACCTCTATCCCAAGCAGCAAGCGATCCTGTTCGTTATCTCCGACGACGTTGCGGAAGTGGTTGGTAAGTCAAGCAATGAGCCAGTACAGACACGGAGGTATGCTAGCCCATTGTGTACTAGCCCAGACTACGGACTAGCTCTGCCGTTTAATAAGATTCACGCGTAGACGTTAAAGTGGGGCAGCAGCCGGGTCAAGTCGGTGAGTTCTCACTTCACTGTGCTTATTCAATCAAAACTTGGACTACCTTTCTTTTCTTTCATCGAAATCTCCGCGACCGTCATCAACCAATATTTCCAGCATGGCGCCCTCGCAGGAGAAATACTACAGCGCCGAATTTGGTAAGCTGCGGGTGCATTTCAACATTACCCAGCCCCGCCCGGTAACCCGGAGCCAGACTATTCGGAATCAGCAGTCCAAGAAACGGCGCCGACCTCAACTTTCTGAGGCGTTGGATCCGATGAGGGGTGTAAAGGATTGGATTATGCACACTATTGATGACAAGTGATGACGCGGAGCCTGCCTCCGACTAGGAGTCAGAATTGGAGGCCGCGGACGACTATGCAAACGAACTCAGGACAGACTCCAGAGGCCAGCGTTGCGCTTGACAAGTTCATCTCTCTCATCACCTTCACACCCGCGTATGCCAAGAATATGATTGACGACTTATGTATATCTATTTATGGGCCCAGTGGCCGATATACCGTCGTGTAAGTATCCTCTGCAACCCCCCCCTTCTTTCTCCTGGGCCTGCCTACACAGGACCTTACTAATTAGTAACTTCATCTCTGTAGACCCTGAGCGTGTCCAACAAAACATTCGGCGCCATGATTATTGGTACACGGCCATCTTCAACAATATTCTCAACGCAGCGGCCAGCTATACAGTACAAAACGTCTACTCTTGCAGTCTTGGCTCGTCGTATGCAGGATGTCCATCGATCCGTATTCGGTGACAGTGATGGACTAGAAACACTTGAGGAAAAGGATAAAAATTACGGGGAAAATTTACTCCTGGAAGATTATGGAAATATCTGGGGCTTCAATCAGCGGGAGACTGCGAAATACCGTTTCGAATGGGTTCTGACTTGCATTCGGACCGGCGAACTTCCGGCCGATGCGAAGCTAGGACAGTGCCTCTGGCGAGAAACTTTGCGCGACTCTTTCCTAAGTCAAAAAAACACCCATACTCTTTCGTGGGCCATGATGGCGGCAAAGAGCTCAACCCCGACCTATCGTCGCGTTGGGTTCAGGAGTTCTTAGAGAAGCAAGGCGCATGGGATACCATTGAAGCTGCTCTGGGAAGGCACAACACAACCCTAGGAATTCTTGGGCTGCGCGATCGTTATGGTGTTCTGATTGCACCTCTTTGGGAAGAATTGGTGTGCGGCATGACCCTTGACCAAAGCCTTTGCATGACCCTGGCTATCCAAGAAGCTCGGAAAGACGATGCCGAACCTGATGGCTGTGCTGACAAGAGCGAGCTACCTATTCAGCCAAGCAGGGCTTCGGTGCCCTCACACGGAACTGCTGGCCAGGATGCGGAAGGGGATGCTGAACTCGAACAGCATTCGACTTCTACCTCGTCGGCGAGAAAACGACCGGCCGATGAAACCTCGCCTCTACCCAGGCCGAAGCACAAGCGCAAGAAACGGCATTGCCATGACGCCGAGGACGACATGATGCAGTCGGATGCGGAGCTGGGCGCAATGGAGGAACAGATGACGACCGAAGTGAACCAGGAATTCCACAACGATCGGTCCACTCATGCAATATCGAGACAGAGAAAGATTCTGATGGGGCCCGATTTCGAGTCGGGCACCCGGAATGGAGTCCTTCAGAGCTCAGTCACCTCCAGACTATTGTGAGTTCCGGCGAGCACATACCAATCGCTGTGAAATCGTGGGTGGAGCAGACTGGTTCTAAAAGAACTCCGGATGCGGTGGTTGCTCGCCTCAAGCTTATTGCAGCAGAGACAGCTGTTCCTTGGACTGACGAGGAGGACGCAGCGCTGATGACCGCATGCGAGGGCCTTGATAAAACGCGGCCGATGACTGAGGCCTTCAAGTCGGCGACCGAGACAAAGCGAACCGATAAGGACACGATAAGGACATTATCCAGAGAATTGAATACCTCAGCCTCAATCTCGGTCACAGGCCTAACCCCGAATGCGAAAATCACTCCTCTTCGTCTTTCCAAGGTTCACAGAAACGTTGGACTTCTAAGGAAGACGAATTTCTCGAGACCCTCCGGGATGGATACAACGACGAGAGCAGGTATCAGGCTTGGAAGAAAGAGTTTGGTCCTACCAGGACTCTGACGAGTCTAAAAACTAGACTTGTTCGTCTGTCTAAAAGTCCCCGCGGAAAGCTTCATAGATGGACACTGGAAGAAGACAATTACCTGCGATCCTATCCTGACGTGAGCAAACGATGGAAGCTCGCCAAGAAGCTCTCCCTGACGTGGGAAGAAGCATTCAGACATCCGCGGACTGCAAGTGCTATCTAGCATAGGCTGTACCCTCTATCAGACGCGTCGGAAAGCACGGAGCGATGCAGCAGGTGGTCCCTATCGGAAGACGCTTGGTTGCTGACAGTGACGAAGGAGGAAGTAGAAGATAAGGACTGGCAATCAGTCCACATGGCGTTTGTGGATAAGCTTGGTATGGCGCGAACCGCAAATGCGCTTCGTGCTAGACGGTATATCTACGACAAGCTGCAGCCGAAGCCAAAGCCGAGACCAGCGGCTCTTTGGACGAGGAGACAGAGGAAAGCGAGAATGCTGTGTGATTTGTTACCATGTCATGTTTTCGGCGGATATTTATTCGCCAGCTGAGTACATGCTCAGCGAGACTCGAGCTGAAGCGAAGTCCAACAGCGCTCTGGACAAGGACTATGAGACGAGCCAGGTGTTTGCGAGGTTGCTGGGCGGGATCGGGGCAGGTTTGTGTTACTATTCTATGTATTTGGATAATCATTTCACCAACTTAGCAAGACACGGTAACCTGTAGTGTCTGACAAAACAACCACTTGGAGAAGACAATGTCCATTCGTGTGTGCCGCGCGACTACCAGAAATAAGAAGAGGAAAGTGTCCAGATTTGTTCTTGACGCAATACTGCATGCAGTTATGTAGATCTATCTGTCTGTTCCAGCCCCAGACGGATCTACAGAACTTGGCTAGCTCCGTGTACCGGAGGCGGGAAGGGGTGAGGGAGAAGAGTTGGAGGTGGCTGCGGCTCGTTATGGATCATTTACTCCGATGTCGCCCCGCACGCCAACCATACTGAATGCCTTGATTACTAGCCAAAAGGCGCCACCACTCTTCTGGTGTCGAAACGCACGCGCGATTGGCTACCTGGCACGAATAGAGCCCCCGCATTTTTTGCCGGACGAGGTCGGAGCTCTACAGTGACTGTGTGGCGCCAATTTTTTTTTTAGGGTGGGTTTATTCAGCATCCCCTATGGCGTAATTAGCATCCCATTTGTGGCTTGCTGTGGCTATGACACCCGATACCGGGCCCCCATAGATTTTTGTACGGGGATAACGTAAAGGTTGTCTGCGCCTTTGTAAAAAATCACTCAAATTGATCTATTTAAATGAAGCTATTCAGAGATTTCTATCGTCGGCATCGGCTATCGCATAATATCATCCATCGCAGCTGCCTGTTATGTTATTTCTTCAAAGACCTGATCCCTTTTACCTTTAAATTCAAGCGTAATATCATCATCCCAAATAAACGAGGCATCCTGACTACCCCATTGTGACTCTGTAAAAGGACGCTGTGAGGCTTTTAGCGATGAATTTTGTGGTGTTGAGGCCGTAATTCCGTCATTTTCATTGACATCGTCACGGTCCTCAATTGCGGCTGCAAAACGCATGTAAGCTCGAGGGCCCTCGGTGCCTGGCTCGTATGAATCATATTAATCAACAGCTCTAAGGCCAATAGCTGTTGAAGTTGATCGTGATACTTTAATAGCTGCGGGAGTTATTGAAGGCGGCGGTTTTTGATGATTTTGACGGTCGGCTCGAGCCTCAAGGGCCTCTTCAGCGATAATGTGCTCGAATTCAGAGGGCTCGCGTTGTGTTGTGTGTTATGTTATGTGTGAAGTTATTATGGCAACGGTGAGGCCGGCCTGTCGAAATTCCCTTACTAATCACTAGTAAATTCCGACACCGGTAGCTGATAGAGCCCAGCCACAAATGGGATGCTAATTACGCCAGAGGGGATGCTGAATAAACCCACCCTTTTTTTATGAGTCTTGCCCCAGGTTTTTGTCCGGCTTCGCTTTGATCCAGAGCTAAACCTTCCTTGGCTAGCCTCTCCCACCTCCCTCGCCTCCCACTTCCTCCAACTTTTCTTTTTCATTATCCTCGATCCCGAAGCAAAGACTGGCATCTTCGGATTCTCTTTCTCACGCAATTGAGAGCTTTCCTTTTCCGTCCCACCCTGACTTTCCTCCCCTCCGAATCCATCTACTCCTCCGCGATGCTCCGAAATCGTCCTACGAGAAAGGCTGTCCGCGACCTTGGCCAGGCGAGGGCCTGGTCGACGCCGCCCACAGCCACTCTTGCGCAGTCAAAGCTGCCCGCGACGCAAAGAACAAAGGCCACTGCTACCACTTCTTCCGCGCCGTAAGTTTCTGGCTGTTTTTCTTGGTTCTTTGCACCCTCATAACCTCGTCCGTGGTGTCACGCTTCACCGCCCAACGACTATCCGTGTTCCTGACTCGAAAGACGGCGAGGAGTGCCCCAACGCTCGCTCCACCAAGTCAATCGATGTTTCATTGTTAATCTCATCTCAATCATGTTGCTGACCTGCTTTACAGTCAAACTCGCCCTGTGCCCAGCCCCGCCTTCAACTTGAAACCCGAATCTCGTCGTCATGTTCAGCCTCTTATCAACCGATCGAAACCCGAGATGGATGAGTCGTAAGAATTCTCTCTCAAACCACGATGAGCCCTTGCTCATGTGCTTTCAGGTTCATCGGAAAGACCGGCGGCGAGATCTTTCATGAGATGATGCTCAGACACGGTGTGAAGCATATTTGTTTGTCTCCCCTCTCCAACCGAACTTGTCTTCGTCAGCAGGGCCAAATGAAAACCCACGTGCTAAATAGTCCTAGTCGGCTACCCCGGAGGCGCCATCCTTCCCGTCTTTGATGCCATCTACAACTCGAAATACTTTGATTTTATCTTGCCTCGACACGAACAAGGCGCGGGCCACATGGCACAAGGTAAGACTTGCTTGGTTGAACAAGGTTTATATTAACACATCATAGGGTACGCACGTGCCTCCGGAAAACCTGGCGTTGTACTCGTTACATCGGGTCCAGGAGCGACCAATGTCATCACACCCATGCAAGATGCTCTCTCAGATGGCACTCCCATAGTGGTCTTCACTGGACAGGTCGTAACAAGTGCGATCGGACTGGACGCGTTTCAAGAGTGCGATACTGTGGGCATTAGCAGGAGTGCGTGCAAGTGGAATTGCATGGTTACAAGCATTGCTGACCTCCCGCGCCGAATTAACGAGGCTTTCGAGATTGCTACCAGTGGTCGTCCTGGCCCTGTTCTCATTGACCTCCCTAAGGATATTACAGCTGGGATTCTTCGAAAGGCTATACCAACACAAACCTGCCTACCCTCTTTTCCAAGCATCGCTTCTCAGGCTGCCAAACGACTAATGCAGAAGCAACTTAATACCTCCCTTGGTCATGCTGCTGAGCTTATCAAAGTAGCTAAGCAGCCTATCATTTACGCTGGCCAAGGCATCATCCAATCTAAAGATGGAACTGACCTTCTTCGCGAGCTAGCTGATAAGTGTTCTATTCCTGTTACAACAACTCTCCAGGGCCTTGGTGCATTTGATGAGCGTGACGAGAAGTCGTTAGGAATGTTGGGTATGCATGGCATGGCATATGCCAATATGTCTATGCAGGAGGCCGATCTTATTATTGCTCTCGGTGCTCGCTTTGATGACCGTGTTGTCCTCAATGCTTCAAAATTTGCTCCTAATGCTAAAGCTGCAGCAGCTGAGAAGCGAGGCGGCATTATTCATTTTGATATATTGCCTAAGAATATCAATAAGGTCATTCAAGCAACTGAGGCTATTGAGGGCGATGTTGCCACTAACCTCAAGTTGCTTATACCTATGCTCACATCTACAAGCATGGAGCAACGAAGTGAATGGTTTAACAAGATATCCGCATGGAAGGCAAAGTGGCCTCTTTCCAACTATGAGCGCGCAGACTCCCCTGGAGGCAACGGTCTTATCAAACCCCAGTCCCTAATTGAGGAGCTGAGCGATCTCACCTCTAAAATTGATAAGAAAACAATCATCTCGACCGGAGTGGGCCAGCATGTGAGTTCCTCATGAGCGGCCAACACTATTACGAACACCAACTGACCTGAAGTAGCAAATGTGGGTAGCACAGCACTACACGTGGAGAGAGCCTCGATCGTTTGTCACGAGCGGTGGACTAGGTACGTGATATTTTTGCAGCACCTTGGCCGTTTCTCTCCGCCCCCCCAAACCCCAAACCCAAATCTTGTCATGTTTCCTGTTCATTGAAGTTTGTAACGACCCTAATTCTGACCCTTGGATGTAGGCACCATGGGCTTTGGGCTGCCAAGTGCGATTGGAATTGCAGTAGCGAGACCAGACGCCCTCGTTATTGACATTGACGGCGATGCGTCCTTTAACATGACCCTAACAGAGCTCTCCACCGCTGCTCAATTTAACATTGGCGTTAAGGTTATTGTTCTGAATAACGAGGAGCAAGGCATGGTTACTCAATGGCAGAACCTGTTCTATGAGGATCGCTATGCACATACCCACCAGCGGAATCCGGACTTTGTCAAGTTAGCCGACGCAATGGGTGTGCAGGCGAGGAAGGTCTCCAAGCCAGAGGACGTTCGGGCTAGCCTTGAGTGGCTCATCAACACAGACGGTCCAGCTCTTCTCGAGGTTATTACCGATAAGAAGGTGCCTGTCCTGCCTATGGTACCAGCAGGTGCTGGCCTCCACGAGTTCTTGGTTTATGATAGAGGTAAGCTATAGTTCCTGGGACTGTAACACGATGATATGGCTATTTGCTAACGGCGGTTGACTGCAGAAAAGGACAAGGCCCGGCGACAGCTAATGCGCGAGCGAACCTGCGGTCTTCACGGTTCTTAGCCAGGAGTCCGGGAGGAAGCAAAGCTGTCAGGTGAAATTGTCAGAGGTCTATAAGGCACATCCCTTATAGAGTGCGCGGCGGTGCCACTTGCGTACCGAACAAGGACATCAGCCAATGAAAAGTCTTTATTTAAAAGGTACATTTTCTTACTAGAAATTTATATGATAATATAAGTACTAATAGTTTCTTTATTTACATAAAGATACATTACACTTATGATAGCCCCAGCGCTAACCTTATTGCTAAAAAGGTACAGTAAACCAGGTTTATAACGATGTCTTTCGTGAGGCTTTTTTTTATCGTTATTAGGCGACTATTATTAAGGTGCGATTATTATAAGGCTTATACCTTTAACCAAATTTACTAGGTAAATATATGTAATAATATTATAAGGTATATATACAGAGATTGTGTTTTTTTTTTACCACGTCACGAGCTTCCTGCCAATCGTGCCAAAGCTGCTATTAAAGCCGCTGTTAAAGCTTATCGCGGCCCTCGTCAACGCGCCCGTCAGCGCGCCCGTTAACGCGGGCAAAAAAGGGCTCAATTCAATACGTATCGCGTGCCACGGCTAAAATAGCCTCGCGGCGGTTATCCCAATGCTTTAGCTAGCGCTTACAGCTTTACATATTACTAAGCAGCTTGAATTTTCCCTGTTAATTGGTGCTGACAGAGCCCGTGGATCACCCTCATCTTGCTTATCATTCGATGGTGGTGGGCGGCTTGATGGACTGGCAGCATGTCGTCGTTGGCGAGGCTTGCCGCGGGTTGAGGATCGTCTAAGCTTACGCCGTTTGCGGGCATGGTGGTCAGAACCATCATCGGTATAACAGCTCTCGCTTAGCGCCTCTGTTGCGTCGCTGTTCCGTGCTGGAGGAGAGTACTCTTGGTCACCTCGCACGACACTGTCATAACTAGAGCTGGTTTCCGACGTGGTCTTGGGTTTGGATGCCGTAATTGGATGAGAGAGTTCCCTATGGACTTTGCGGGAGCAGCTATCGACCCTGGCCATAGACTTGTGGGCCCTGCGGCGTTTGAGCACATGCTGGTCGATATCAGGGGTATCATTGGCTTTGCCGTCGCCGCGCGGTGGAAGGCTCGATAGGCCTGGGGGGATACCATGCTCCAGCCCCTCCTGGTATCCTTGCGTCTCATTGTCGCCGTTGGAACGGGGCCGGGTGTCGGCGTTGACATTGAAGTTGGGATTCGACCGTTGATGGGTTTGAGTCCTCTCTTTATCGGCGTTGGGAGCTCGGCCGCGGACCTCCCGGAGGCCCTCTTCTCCTGATCTCTTCGGAGAGGGCGGTTGTGTAAGGGAACCCTCTGGTATGTCGTCGCTTGCCACTACAGACTTACTACCTATGAGTTTAGTGTCGCCGTCTGTGTTGGCCGCAGTAGGATTTTGCGTCTCGCTCTTCTCGTTCACGAGCGAATGGGGTGGTGAAATAGATATTGTAACAGTTCGTCTTAGAGGTAAAGCGCACTATGGTTTTGTCTCTGTCGTGTCTTGATTGAGTCGGTCGTCCGTCGGTGTACCTAGCCGGCGTATGTTATTAGCCAGGTCATCAGATTCGCAACCGAATGCGTCTTGTGCATCTATTAGCCATGCCTGGAGTTCGAGATCTTACTATGACGTGAACCTACCAATATAGCAAGCATCGTCAGGCGAGGCCGTGGTATGAGACGGCACAAGGGCATCGGCCGATAGAAGTGTATCGTCCGAATGCCAGCCCACGCCTCGACAGCCATTATCACCATCTGTATCGTCTATGTCTAACCCGCCCTCAGTATCGGACGGTATCATATCGGTTCATTCGTTGTCGGACCGGTGAAACCTAATGTGTGAGGTTGATCTTCGCTCACGTGAGGGGAGGAATATTCTGGCTGGAACAGAAGCTGCTCCTGCTGCTTCACCTGGCTAGCGCACTCTCTGGGACTGCGACAGCCGGACGCACCCAGAAGGTCATATTGTCAAGGCTCATAGTTGCTGCCATGATGAGGTTTTCAAGAACAAACTGGATTGAAGGCAGTTATTGCAAGAACTCCAGGAGCACCGCGTGAAGACTCTGAGCGCAGGTCTTGTTGTCGACAGAATCTGCTGGAGTCTTAAGTCGCGGCGCAATATATACATTGCCCTCGTTTAGTCCCCCTTCAACCGCTTCGCTGCACTCCTTGCTCCTGCAAGCATGCTCGGGCTCCCAGTATAGCCCGTATCCTCGGTTGAGCGTCCGACGAAGACCCAGAGCTCCTTTTCGGCGATTCATGTCCGCTAATCATGCATCTGCCGAGCCATACCAGATGCAGCTGGGCTGTCCCCCTTGGCGGCCCGTATTCTCGACGTGAGATTTATGAAAGCTTGATCAATTAGTTCTGGGCAACTTTAGAGCCGGTAACTGACACTCTGTTGAATTTGTAAACAATATCTGTCTGCAAATTGGGAGCACTCTCTAAAACGTCTTCCTCAGCAATTGGCTTCGGCACATAGGCCCTCAAGTCATTCTCGTATGCCCTGAACCTCGAAAATTTATGCTGTCGTTAAAGAAGACCATATCACTGACAGATCCCTGGCTTGTGATTAGGACTCTAGATCGGGCCTTAATGAAGGGACTCGGGATTGCTCGTATGTGCTTGACACGTCCTGATTCGTTTAGGACATCGGTTACCAATACTACCGGCTAATGTGCATAAAGAGTATCCAAGTTATTAATTATATTTATAGAGGATGTCAGCCGAGCGCTTCCTAACCGGCCTCCGAAAGTAGTCAAGATGTCCAGGGCCGGGACTTGAGCAATCTGACGGAAAAGTCTCTTCCATATGGCTGCTTTCTTTGGCATCTTTTAATGTTCAAAATCGCAAACGTAATGCAGGAGATATAAGGTGCTATATAGAGGTTACACGAGGGCTATGATCACGGGGCCTACGGTATAAGGCTTATTTGCTCCATATACAAATAGAGATTTCTAGTTATCTAGGCGTTGAGAAAGACCAAGGACCTTTAATAAAATAGACTGTAGTTATATAAATCGATTTATTGATCTAAACCCCTTACTGAGCCCTTGTCACATGAAGCCGAAATCTGACACGCATCCGATTCCGAGAGCCGTGTCCCGGTCACGGAAAAGGGATTTGGAACAGGGGCTAAAGTGTCTATTAGGCTTCCAATCAATTGAAGAAGCGTAGTCTGGTCTTGGTGATGGGCTAGTCGGGCGGCCTCGCTGTTCGTTCCAGAGCATCCAGTGGTGAGAGTGTCTGACCCGCGAGTACACTAGGGAATTCAGACGCATTGTCGCTATTAACATTAGTGATTTTCTTTTTGAACTGAAGAACTGCATTTGCCTTATCGTCACCGTACAGTAGTGGCAAAAGGACACCAATAATGCCGAGAAGACGGTATGCCTAGTCGTCCACGCATGTAGTCCCCCGCCTCTCTGCCTATTCGCATCGACGTCAATTCTTGGAAGACCAATTCCGGTTATTCAGTGGATCCCTTGCTCGGAAAACGTTTTATTGACAAGCCGCCAGCCCTCCTTGCTGAAGAATTCAACCGACGCTGGTGCTAGATGCTCTTGGAGAGTCCAGGGCCCCGAGTGAACCATGAATCTGCTCAAAATGCCGTCCGCCAGGCAAACTTAGGCAGCTGATTATTAGTTTGAGGGTTAGAGACTGAGACGTCAGACAAGCACGCGTAGCATTCAGCCGCATTTTGATACAAGCGGAACATGGAACTGTTGGCCTCGTGTAGGTGGTTGTGTTTGGATCTATCGATACAACACAGAGTGTATTAGGTGTTTTCGTCGCGCTTGTTGCGCACAGAAGCCTACCTTGTCCTAGCTAGTGTTGTGTTCCCCTGAGGTCTCCAAAGATGACTTCTTCGGAATCAGAGCACCATGTGTGCGGAAGTATAATATAAAACGGGATTTCATTATCGTGTAGGTTGTCGGTCAAACTAATTCTGCTGTCAAAATTGCATTCTAAGAGTCGCATGATGGGTCGACTATGTCCATTTCGACTCGAGCGAGAATTATGACGGGGGTCCGTATCGAGCTCAGTGTTAGCATTAGAAGGAGAAGACGAGTGTACCTAAAGAAACCCAATCTCTAGTAGACATACAAAGGAACAGAAGAGTCCTTGTGTCAAGTCAGCGACGCGGAGGCTGCTGATGCCGCCCAGTGTAATTTCGTCTGGCAGGTCAGACTCATTCTGGCTACTTAAGCTGCAACCACAGAACACGGCATCTGGCAACCAAGGCAATGTTGTGATGGGGCTGAGATGTGACGCCAAGTATGACGGATGCCACTAGCACAAGCACATACACATGTACATTCTGACATGCGAATATACAATGCATCTCCAAGGCCAGGCCATGTCTATATGATCTATTTGGAACTGACTTGTCAAATGAGTTCCTGCTGTTATATTCGCTCTGCTATTACAATGCTGCGTTCCGATATTTATAAAGCGCTGAGAAACGTAGCCACTGCTGCTATACCGCGATGCAAAGTCCAAAATAGTTAGAAGCTCGGTGCCAAGGATTACCGGAAAATGCAACATACCCCCAAGGATGAGAATTCCTTGCACTCATTAATAAACAAGTAAATAAATTGAGCATATTTAGGTACGGCGGATCCCGTTAAAGCGGAGAAATACTATATCCCCTAAAAGCAGCGAAGACTACAATTATGTATAGTGGGTAGACAAATGTTAAAAATAAAGTACTTCTCTTATAATTAAAGTTAAATATATAAGTAAATCGTTTTAGTCTCTTTATCCCCTATAAAGTCTACTATAAGTCTATAATCTACTATAATTAAAATTTTTAATTTTTTCGTTTTTTAAGCTTAAACTTTTATGCTTTAAGAAATAATATAAATAATGTTGTTAA